GATTTGGCATATCAAAGGTGCTTCCATCATCTTCCATCCAAGTTCAAGCAACTAAGAAGTGATGTGAACGATGCTACAGGGTGAAAGGTACGGGTGCGAGATTGCCACATCACTAGCACTAGCAAGCATGGCAAAGGCAGTCCGTGAAATAAGAACAGACTTCATACTGCTGGAAGACAGACAACTTGCGTTTGACACAGGTTCTTGCGCATTGTTAGCCGGCAGGCATGTGCAAGTGGCTGGGGTGGCGGGAAGGTAGTGCAATACAGGAGCTTCTGTGCTTCACCTTCAGCCACTTCACACAATTCCTGAAAAGTCAGTTGCATAAACTTGTGTTTTTGATTGTTTTTGTAGAATCTCACTCTTCAAAGTTTGTGTTTTTTCGGCTTTAACCCAGTAACCAACTGCTACTTTCAAACCTGCCACACATCTTTACACACAATAGATCGCGTGTGCCGCGGAAGTGCAAGCGAGAAGGGCTTGAAAGTACAGGGCCTTTTCACGTGCGGCAGCGATTTCACTGTTTTCTGCCCATGCGCAAATTTATATATATATATATAAACTTCATATAAACTTCATAAGACTATACCGTATCTTCCATAGAAAGGATTAGAAAGGTAGACGGGTTGATTGGGCTATTGGCTATTCACATTTATTCACATCTAGTCATATCTATTCACTATTTTTGTCGTAGTTGCTCTAAATGTTATTCTTTTAAACTCACTTAATTACTGTAATATACTGCAATACAGTTATAAGATGTTATAAGTTATATTATATTATTATGTTATGTTAATAATACAGTTGAATGCTTTGCTGGAGTTCCAGGTCGAAAGCACTGGTGCCATTGGGCGTGGTGAAGACAGGCGAGGCATGGCCAGACATCAAGATGTGAGACGGTGCAATGAAGAAACACACACATATATATATAATACATATATATATATACATAATATATACACAACAAATTTTATACAGCTATAGATAATAAGTAGATAAATATAATGGGATTTGTTAATTTGCATTTTGTTCGGGACACGTCTTTCACACAGTAACCTGGCTGCAGTGTAAAGATATAAAATGAATGAGAGAAAGCCAGAAGCCACCTGCAGTATTCATTTATTCGATTTATTTTCAATGGCATTGGAGCTGTCAATTATCTACAATATACAAGTCATCATTTAGCCTTTTGTCGCTTTTGTTAATTGATGCATCGTCTCTGGCAGTCACGCTCTTGGCAACGCTGAAGCACCACTCTGGCATGGCCTTTCTGGCCTTGCGCCAGGCAGCGAGGGCTAAAAGTTGGACCAAACACCTGATGGACTTCAGCCATATGCTTACACAATATTACAATGATATATTATATATACATACAATATGTTTCATGCATCATAAAATACATGTATACATATATTGTATTTCACACATATTATTTTCATAACTTATATACAGTACACACATATATATAATTACATATATATATATATACATAAACATACATACAGCAATATACAGCAGCATAACATATAACATATTGTGAAATTTGGCAACTCTTCAAACATGTTGTGAAATTTGGAATCCGCCAGGAGGATCTTTGGCAAGCGGGCCCTGAAGCCTTGTGTCACCCATGTTCCAAGAGCAGACTTGTGTAGAGTATCGATTCAGCTTGGTGATGGTCTGCTCATGTTTATTATGCGCTCTCCATTGCATCAGGAGAAGTGATGTCATGAAATGAAACGAACCAAGATCCAGGATTAATTATTAGATACACTTGGAGAGTCTAAACTGCAACTTCCTCCATTTTTCGGGACTTCTTCGATCATAGTGAGAGCGAAGGAAGGAGATCTCTTGAACCATTAGCATGCTAACATTGTATTTGAACAATTTTGAACATATTTGAACAATTGAAATATATGGAAATATGACTTAAATATGTTTCCGTCACGTGTCTAATGAGAATGTTTCCCAGGAGAGCCTCCCCTTCTGAGAATATCCAAAGCTGAAACCGACATGAAGCGAATGAAGCTGCACCGAAAGCGACTATTCTCGTGAACTTTTCGTGCTTCATCATTCACGATGCCGTGATGTGACCAGTTTCAGAGGAACAGACACGCGCGGTCCAGACTTGAGGTGACGTCCTGCCAATTTTCATCTTTGCAGGAAGACCAAGAAAGAGCACAGATGAAAATTCTTGGTTGGCCATAACCACGCTGGTGTGTATGGTGTGTTCTAGTCTCGTAGTATTTGCAAGGACTTGGCAAGGTCTGTTTCAAAGTGCGGCAAATGGTAGGTGCCCGAAGCTGTGTCGAGCTAGGAAAGGACAGGAAAAAGTTGCCTCGAGGACTGCAAAAGCTAAGCGGACTTGCACAACTTGCGCAGGTACCCAAACACTTGCCATACATACTTTGTTTGCGCTTCTCAGAGTTCAGGAGACACTTCACGACAAGGCATTACCAGATCCTTGCTTTGGCATGGTTTGGCCATGTCATGTACAAGAAGGGATGATGATGTGGAGCATTAAAGATGCTTCCTGTATCTTCGTGTAGTTTGCAAACGTTTGCAAGTTGATCTGAATGCTCGTGCCCTCAGATTTAGGATGGCCTTTCTCAACGGAGGTGGCGATGTCACAGCCGCCACAGCCCCACTCTGTGCTGTGTAGGCCAAGCCCCAGAACTCGGCTGGAGCATTCGAGAGGTCTGAGCGCGAGTGAGTTCTGGTCGTTGTGGATGTCGCTTGAAATCAAACAAACAGTATTAGCTTATGGCTTACAGTAGCAATGCTGAGAAGACTTGCATCTCCCATCCAAGATTCATAATATTTTATAATTATGTAATAGTATACGCTATTTTGTGCTATATAATACCATATGAATTCACATGTTTTGTTTAGAGGTTGTTGCTGACAGATCTTTTTGGCTTCTAGCCTTGGATGTGGGCTCGGGCCCTGGATTTGATCCTTGCGTGGGCTCCACTTTGCAGCCGCACCAGCACCCCGGCAGAGTGGATCTTGCTGGCCCTTGGTGCTTGGGCGTGCGGTTTTGCTTGTGGAGCGGCCACCGTAGGATTTCTCCTGAGCCATCGGCTGCGTCGTGTTTGCTCAGTGGTGCTCTGGGAGCTGCTGAGGGCTGATCTTCCACCTGCGCCTCGCCCTCGATCAGAAGACCGACTGGCGGGCTATCGAGATCAGTGAGCGCCCTTTTGTCCCTGAAGCCCTGCGGATTCATCTTTGTCATCCAGGCCCTTCCCACTTGCTTGCCCACAGCTGAGCACGCCTGCGGCTAGCCAAGACTGAGGACTTGACTGATTGTTTCTGACCCGGTTTGAAAGACCCTGCAGACTACAGCTCCAGCTTGAAAAGGCGGCCATGGCAAGGCAGCTGGCACAGCGCAACGTGGCCAAACTCAAGCTAGCATCTGCTGGACACAGTTTTGATTGGCTGCAATGGAATTTGTCAGACCGGAAGGCCGTGGCTTTGCCCATCCTTCGTCGGCGAGGAGGTTTGCTTGTGGCAGTGCCTTCAGAGGCCATCACGGCCGAGGAGGCCGACACGGCCATAGTGGGAGAAGAGATCACGGACCTTGGTCCAACTCAACGCACCGAGGTTTCGGCGACCATGGCTGGGGACGAAGCCGAAGAGCCCCCATTCTTGGTCGAAGTCCTCCTGCTCGACGTCCCAACTGCCAAGTTCTCCACATTCAGCATTGTTGCCGGTCCTGCGGGCATTTTGGAAGATTGTTTTCATTTTGGCGCAGACGCTCAGTTGATCCCAGATGCTGGAGAGCTCACTGCCGCTGCACGGGAGTGGGTACAACAAGGAGGCTCACATTCAGAGGCCTACCTCACTGCTATCGAAGCGGACAGACCGGCCCGAGCAGCTGCCGACCCTATGGCATTGGTGTTGGATCAGTTGGGAAGCCTGTCTTCAGCCCTTCAAACCTTGCAGGGAGATGTCGCCCGTCTTCAGGCCACTGGTTCAGCACAGCCAGCTGCCGAAGTTCCTCCTCCGCTTGCCATGGGCGCTTTGGCCAAAGCCCGTCAGGTTGTTGGCCCTCCACCGCGCACAACGGCAAGACCCACAGTCCCAGAAGTCGAAGAGCTTGGCCCCGCAGAGGAGGTCGACATGAATGTGGCCGATCCCATGAATGCCAATCCAGAAGATTTGGACCAGATGATGCGGGTCGCTTTGTTGCAAGTCCTGCAAGCTCAGACCAGGAAGCAGTCTCGCAAGAGCAAGTTGCCAGGGCTGCCTACTGGCGACGACGATTCCGAGTCAGATCTGGAAGACGGCGACAGCTTGCGGAGGCTAGCAGGAGCAAAGGGCACTATGCTTCAAGAGAAGCTCAAGAAAAGCATGGATGCCAAGCCCGGCGAGTATGTCAAGGCCATCGAGCTGATGGCAGCGCAGGCGGTGGGGCAAACCGTTTCCGATGCATCGAGCCTAGAAAGGTTTGTGCGAGAAGAGCTGCCAGTGGGGACAGACAAGACATTGGGTCACCTCGTTTGGGCGCTGACAAAGATTTGCCATCTTCTTCGTTCAAGACAGCCCTCCAAGGCCCATTTGGTTGCCCTGTTAGCTCTGGCCTCAGTGGAGCAGTTCCGCCTCGATGGCTCCTGGACAACGGCCTGGCGGTTGACTCAACTTCAAACGCCACCGTTTGCGGAGTGGATGAACCGGGAGCCAAACCTTCAAGCCCTCAGATCAGAGCACGCGCATTCTCGTCTAGTCCATCCAACTTGGGCTGCCGCAGTTGTTGCCAGGCTGAGAGACGAGGAGACATTAGTGAAGCGAAGGGAGCGGTTGCCAAGACCAACGCCAAACCCCAAGCCAAGCTGGAAAGGACGCGGAAGAGGCGGAAAAGGAAGCCAAGCCAGTGGAGACCAACAAGCTCAGGATTGACTGAGCCGAACAGTTTTGCAGATCTCCCTGGTTTCTTTTTGAGCTGTTTAAAGCGCTCATTCAATCCATTTTCGTATTTTGTAGTTTCTGGCATTGCATATTGCATGGCCGACTTGCAGCGCCATGCGGAGTTGTTTCCTATCCCTGCACCTTACCCATGGACGATTCAAATTTGCCATGGAGGCTCCAGGAAAAAACGCCAGCGATTCCGCCGGCGGCGGGCTTTGGAGCTGTTGACCAATCTTCAGGTTGCTGCCTTAAATTTTGGTTGGGGTCATAGGGGTTATTGGTCATTTGGTGCCCCCCTTTCTTCAACTCAATGGGGAGTTGTCCAAGACATTAGGGGTAGACTCTGCTCCATTAGCCGCCTGGCTGGCGAATTCCGTCCTGGGTGCGGCTCGAGGCTGAGCACATTGGCCTCTGAATTAGATGCGTTATTTTTTGATTTGTAAGCTTTGTCTCAAGCTGATTACGGTTCAAAGATGGAAGGTGCACGGCCCAGAGCCGCCGAAACAGGTGCAGTCCCAGTTCCTACGGTGGCCGCCAAGGTAGCATTTCCTGATGCTTTACATGGGTTTGACCCTCTTCCTTATCTAACCCCTGAAATGGCCCTAGCTTATCATAACCCCCAAATGTTAGTAAGGGATTCAGGGGAAGAGATCAAACGTGTGCCTTGCATGCCACCAGATGCAGTATCCCTACAAGTGCGTGATGAGCTCAAAGCTTTGGGGCATCGGTGGGATAAGGTAGGCCGCCTCTTTTTAGCAACCCCTAACGAGATCAATGAGGCTGACAGGTGTAATTTATTTTGCATTTCGAAGCCGGATGTGGAACTTAGGCAAATCATTGATCGTAGACCTAGGAATGCTAGGGAGCGGCCACCTCCCAGCCATGCGCCAAAGATGGGACACCCTTCAACTTTTTTGGGCATCATTATTCCTCCCTCCCATGATCTCAAGGGTAACTTGGATGACCTTCGTAATTTCTACCATGAATTCAAGGTGTCAGACTCTAGGTCTTTATCTACCCCAGTAGGACCAACCTGGACCTTAAAGGAATGGGAGGGTACAGCAGCTCATAAAATTTTGATTTCGCGCTTGGGGGGTAAAAAAGAGTTGAAACCAACTTCGCCAATTTATGCATGCTTTGCTGGATTGAGCATGGGTGACCACTGGGCACCCGCACTGGCACAGGCTAGTCATGAAGAACTGTTGAGGGCGCATGAAGCACTCAGGGCAGAAGAAGAATTGCGGTTTGGTGTAATTCCCCCAAGGGCCCCCTTAGGTCATTACACGGGAGTTTGTATCGATGACAAGCTATCTATGCAATTGATCCCCAAATCCAAGCCCGAAATGCCCCTAAGAGACCATGATGCCTGTGCCAATGCGGCAGCAGCATATGACCATGCGGGACTTGTCGTCCATGAAAAGAAGCAAGTCCGCAGAGCCGAAGTGTTCTGCGCGTGGGGTGCGGAAGTAGAAGGCGTGCACGGCTACTGTGGTGCAAAGCGCAGCCGGCTGGCTTGGTTAGCTGTTCTTACATTTAAGGCCTCGCGCAGTCGTGTGCTAACTAGAAAGTTGTTGGATGAGCTGGTCGGTTGCTGGGCTTTCTGTTTGCAATTTAGGCGTCCCCTTTTCTCGCTCATTGAGTTGATGTACAATGAGGGCCCTGTTTCCAAAGGGTTTAGGCCATCACAAGCTTTGCGCGCCGAAATGCAAGTCTTGGCGCTGTTGGGCATGACTGCTATGTCCCAATTGAGGACGCAGGTCGGTCCTACCATGTACGCAACCGATGCATCCCCGGATGGGGCTGGTGCTGTGTCTTCCACCGTTGAACCAGGCCTCGCACGTGAAATTGCCAGGAGAGCTGAATGCCGCGGTTTTCACACCAGATTGCTTCCCCCTATTTCAGCACATTTGCATGAGAAAGGTTTTGTTGTTGATGAGAGCCTGATTTCATCGGATTTTGACCTAGGGCACACGCAGCCACCGTTAGATGCGGGCGATCCCGCACCTCTGTTGCACAAGACCGCTATGTTTCCAGTGACGTCAAAAATCGCCAGCATGCATGACCTTGCTGATCGCATGCGCCAAGCTTCAGCACGACCACAAAAGGGGATAGGCCTGAACTTGATGTTTGATTTTATTGAAATCTATTCCGGTTCGGCTATTCTTTCCAGGGAGATGATTGGCAAGGGTTTACTTGTGGGACCCCCTATCGACATCAAGTCAGGCTGGGATATGCGTAAGGGAAACCTCTTTTCATTAATTTTGGGGCTGGCGCTTGCTGGGCGGATTGCCATTTTATGGTTGGGTCCCCCTGCAACAACTTACACTCATGATAGAACCCCCAAAATAAGAAGTTCAGTGGCCCCCTTGGGTTTTGACATATTCCATTTAGATGTGTTGGGGGGGAACCTGCACATGCATATGTCTATCTTACTCATGGCCGTGCAATATAAGAAAGGGCGAATCGGAGTACTTGAAACCCCCTGGAGCGCTTTTAGTAGAAAACTCAAGTTCTGGGGTTGGCTGTTAAGTTTGGGGTGTTTTGAAATCAGAATTGACCAATGCCAATTCGGGATCCCTTATCTTAAGTCTACTTGTCTGATCGCCACTCATGAATTCGTGCGGGCCATGGGACGTCGATGCAGGGGAGGTCACAAACATGTAGATTTGAAGGGGGCAGCCACGGCAACAGCTTCCAAATACCCAGTTGGCTTGTGCAAAGCATTGGCCAGCTGTTTGACACAAGGAGCTCGGGAACTCTTTGCCATCCCCAAATCTGATGGTTTGTGGTCCTCCGATGATTCGTTGCAACACCCCCAAGCTTCTCCGCCGCCAGACCAATCAAGACCCCGCAATTTGGAATATTCTAGAACCTCTAGAAAGTTTGTCAGTCATTTATGGTCTGTGCAGCTGGCAGAAGCTTTGGTGTGGAAATGTTGCAAAAAGTACACCTTTAAGCGACAAGGGCACATAAACCTCTTGGAAGCCCATTCTCGTAGGAGTCTTTTGTTAAACATCCCACCTCGTCAAAGGGTAATCACGTTTCAAGATTCGATGGTCACCTTGGGGGCGGGTGCAAAGGGTAGAAGCAGCAGCTGTGCACTAAATAAAATTTTGAAACAAGAAGCCATGATTCAGGTAGCTAAAGAATTGTATGTTTTAGGCATTCATGCACCCACATGGGCCCTCCGAGCTGATGACCCATCAAGGGGAAGATCTGTCAGGGGTCCAAGAGCCCCTTTCCCATTGTGGTGGTCCAAATGGATGCAAGGGCAGGTGTCAGAGGCTCAAGATTTGTTAGACCATGCCTCTGATACCCCACGTTCCCTTGGCAGATGGTTCCTCTTGTTGTCTGCGGCTGTTCTGGCTAGTTCTGCTGACTTTTCCTCTCTGCGTGATTGGTCCCAGACCCTCAGCATGCCCTCGAGACAGAAGCGACTTAGAGCTGGGGAGGGTCACCCACCAAACTGCCACTTTACGAGTTCAGTTGTTGGAGGATTTAGCAGGATGGATCCAAACAGTTCAGCCAGACTTGCCCGGTTTGAGCCAGCTGGCCAGAAACCAGCCGGTGATTTTGTCAGAACTGGTGGAGGAGTTCGGAAGGACTCTCTACGAGCAGGGTGCCTCGCGGAGGACATTTGCAGAAACAGTAAATGCCCTTCAGCAGAAGTTTGCCTTTCTGAAGACGTGGCTGCATGGTTCTTGGGCCCTTCTGACAACTTGGGAGAGCCTATGGCCCGGACAAGATCACCCACCGATGCCGCTGATGCTCCTGAAAGCGATGGTATCCACTGCGCTTGCTTGGGGCTGGAAGAGAGTGAGCTTGCTTCTTTTAGTCGGCTTTTACGGTTTATTGAGGCCTGTCGAAGCATGCTTGATGAAAGTGACCGATTTCATGACACCTGCAGACACTGGTGTGCCCGACATTTTGATTCTTCAGCTTCACCACGTGAAGAGTCGCACCAGGGGCGCAAAGTTTCAGAGCGTCCGGCTCGAAGAGCCACACGTGATTACTTTTATCAAGAAGTGTTTTGCCAGCATGAGCCAAGACGAAAGGCTATGGCCCTTTTCGGTGAACCTGTTTCGCACGAGATTCCAACAAGTCCTCCAAGCCACTTGTCATACTCCTAAGCTTGTGTTCCCTTCATCACTTCGCCCAGGAGGTGCTACCTACTTGTTTCAAGTTTGGGGTGAAAATTTACCTAAATTGCAGTGGCGGGGACGTTGGATACATGTCAAGACATTAACCCACTATATCCAGGAACTAGGGACAATCAATGTACTCAGCCAGTTAACTCCGCCCCAGAAGGCGAAAGTTCGTCAACTGGCCGAATTGTGTGAGGGGGCGTTGCAAGACTTTAAGCCTTGTCTGGATACCCAAACTCTGTTGCATGTTGCTGCTAAGGGGCTTTCTCAAACCTAAGGGGTCATTTCCCCCCAGCTCCCCCCCAAATGGAGGTATTGGGATGTGGTTCGATGTTTCATGCTGCATGAAATCTTTTGCAGTGACATCCAGAAGAAACCCCATCGCTATGCATGCCAGAAAAGGGCTCCAGAGTCAGTCAAGGAGGAGAAACCAAACATGAATTCACATGTTTTGTTTAGCTCCAGAGTCAGTCAAGGAGGAGAAACCAAACATGTATATGTGATTCACCAGGTTCTGCCCACACACACCCCAAGCTGGATAGCTACCAAGAAAGCTACCAGGCATGGAGGCACGCACCGGGGCAACCGGCTCTTAAGGGCTTCAGCTACTCACACGCACTCCCCCCACTCTGCAGCTCAGGCATGCAGAGTGTAGTGTATGCAACCTGGCAGAGGCCGTTGGGCTTGAGCCACCGCACCAACTGTTAGGCGCCTCGCCAAACTTCTCGCTGATGAACTGCATCGGCCCCCCGCTTTCTGAGACGCCTCGCGTCCCCCGCTTTTTGAGGCAAAGACTCGCCCTCCAACTTCTTTGTCGAACAGGCCCTGCACACCGCAGATCTCCCAGCTTCACCACACATGCAAGAAGCATTCCCAGCGGGCCTCAAAGCCGCGCAATGGCCACATTTGGGCTCATAACCTGTGATTCACCAAGTTCTGCCCACACACACCCCAAGCTGGATAGCTACCAAGACAGCTACCAGGCATGGAGGCACGCACCGGGGCAACCGGCTCTTAAGGGCTTCAGCTACTCACACGCATGTATATATGCAGTGTCGCCCCGAATCTGTCGATGTGACGAATTACATGTATATTGTATGTGTATGTGAATATCATGTCCAGTGTGAAGGATCTGTAAACCCAATGTTTTGGGTTTTGGATGGTTTTGGTACTTGTTGTCTTTCCTCAACTTTGTTGATTTCCCATGATTTTCCCCTGTGCAGTCCCAAAAGGTGGGTGATGTAATTCTTGCTTGAGACGCACATTCATGTAAGGGAGCTTTGCATGGAAGTATAATGATGTATATAGTGATTGTTTTCATATTGTTCTTTGATGTTCTTTGTATATCGTCACGTTCACAACTTCGTCTCATTAGTAAGTGGATGCAGCCCATATTCACTCGCATGCGGCGAGGATCAAAGAATAAGGACAGAAGTAACGAAGAAAGATGAAGAAAAAGTAAATACTGGTTTGCCAGAGTGTGTTGTGCCTCTTCTCTCAGCCTTTTTTTCGTGGCACGCTGGCTAAACTGCATAGACTGGTCACTATAGCACGTTGGTTTGTACACGTTGGCATACGCTGGGAGTAGTTTCAAAATAATACGAAACAGAACTGGTGGCCTGCTGCAAGTGAAACGAAACTCCGAGTGCTGAAGGTGAAAGCCGGCGCTCTCCAAACTCCCGAAGCGGTCAGAGGCGTGAAAGCTCCTTGCAAAATCCCGTAGAATACCCTCTGGTAAACTAACATAGCTATCCTTTTAATGGCTAAATCATCTATACATGGTCCATTTTCCATAGCTATGTTAAATTACCAGAGGGTACATAATGTAAATACATGCATGTGAATATTTTTTTGTTTACCAGCTGATATTCTTTGTCGTGCAGTGGAGGGGCAAAGAGCAGCAAAGTTAGGCACCAATGAATATTTTCTTACATTTATATACATCAACTATCAGTTAATCGTACCTGTAGTCATTATTCGTCAGCATCAACATGTTCCCATGCCCACGGTTCACGCAGTCACCACAGTTCTTAAAAGTCAGGCCTACAAGATCAGTATCATTTCCCTGGGAAGTACAACCTAATCTTGAATACCGTCAAGTTACTCAAGTTTGTTTCGTTGATATTCACTCAGTTGATTGGACTTCTCTGATTGATGAACAATGGATCCGCCTTGAGCGGCCCTACCCTGAAAGCAAGTGACATGACAGAGGCACATTGGGGGTCACCGAGGTACCCGGAAGCAGTTTCTAAGCTTCCAAGCGTGCCAGGCGATCAGACTGAAGGGAAATCAAGCGTCACAAGTTGTGGGATGGCTCTCCTTCGAACTCCTTCGTTCAAACATTTTTTTTCAGTTGCCAGCGCTCCATAGGCAAGCCACACCGACCAATAGTACACAGTAGCATTTGGATATATTATGATATATTTGGATGCATTTGGTGGCACCATCCTCAAAAAATGTAGACCTGAAAGGCTAGTGGCAAGTGCTGGCAATGCACCGATTCAGGGAAGTCGACCGATCTCTAGATGACATGATCGCTTGTGAAGATATCAGAATCTGTGCAAATGATGGTTTGTGATCGATTGTTTTTTCCTTGAAGAGTTAGAGTCATCATTGGTGCAATATAATCCTTATATGTATGGACATTCTCACGAGAGTTCCGCTTTGGATCGAGCGAAAGTGACAGCACAGTACATTTTGAAGAGTATGGCCCAGCAAGACTCACAAATAGAAGCCCAATGAGCAACACATCTGTTGGGATAGGGGATTTGTTATGCTACCTTTGTGTCTACAAGACAATGAACTAATCCATTAAATTATATTATATTCCATTATAGTCTGGCAGCCTGGCAGATAGTGACTGAGTCTTGCCTTTAAGAGAAGCAGTGTTACCCACAGTGCGAAAGATAACACTTTGAATTGCAAAGTCTAGAGAACGATAGAGAAAGTACTGTAACATTTTATTTCGAGAACAAACGCCGTTTCCAGATTAACGATTTTGGATCAACAAACATGTATTGATCGCAAGGCAGAACCTCTCTCGCCGCCGGACCTTCAATTGGAAGTGTAATAATACAATTTTCTGTCCCCCTCTCGGATACGCAGGGATCCAAACTAGAGCTCTTCAGCAGTTTCGCCAAAAACATCACAGGAACGGAAAGGTGCCATCCTTCAATCTGTCAATGACTGGCACAGCCTTCGCAAAATGCGAAGTTGGTGCAATTGATTCTCGACCACAAGCACCGAGTAGGGTTTGCTTGGGGGCGCGCTACATTTTTACGAAATACATAAAAAAATACAATGTTGCGTGAAGATGTGCAGTGTCAAATAGGAAGATATAGCACGACCAATTTTGCATGTTTTATTGCATAGAAGAGCACATGTCATTTCTGAAATCCTGGAGCAGAATATCAGGCATGAGTTTCCTCGGGTAGAGTCGTCGTCCCACACGAGAATCAAGCTGTTTGACATTCTTGCGCTTCAAAACAGCAGTACATAATAGATATGATTAATACCTCAACTTGAACCTCTGTGAACGTGATGACATGTTGGCTACCCAAACTAAAAAGGCAGACAGCAGATCCGCGTTCAATGCGACTTGTTCTTGCGCAGCTCGACAGACTTCTGTCTCAGTCAAGATGATAGTCCATTGGGATCCATTCGGAACAGGATTGGCGCAAGTACAGACAAGATGAGGAATACCACTCCACTCTATTAAGCAGAGGTTTCATTTTGATTCATTTTGCCTAGTCAAGTCACTGGAACCTTGCTTTGTAATGCTTTGTATACCTATTCCATCCTATTCCATCCTATTCCTGTGGTCATGGCAGCCGTTGCTTTCAGCAAACCAGCTGCAGTGCAGGGTACCTCAGAATGGGAGGCATGGGGCGCGTATTGGGAAGATCGAACAAACAAGAATGTAAACACATGTAAAAACGATGACTGAATAACGAATTACGACACCTTGCAGGCAAATAGAACGTACGTAAAATGCTAATGTGTTTACAAGCCGTTGCTTCTACATCGCTTGCAAGCTATTGAGAAGCAGCAGGAGAAAGCAACAAACCAAAACCAATCACAACATGATTGAATAACAATTCACTTCTCTTTGAAGCAGCAGGACATCAGCCGTCATTAGCCTACTCTCCAAGACGTACAACACCCTCGAGCACATCATTTTTCTCTGCCGTTTGTGAGACTTACTGGTGCAATCTGTTGCAAAAAATCCTGCTTTTGTTCGACGTTCTGAGATCATTCTTGTGTTTGTTCATGGCTCCACATGGCTCAAAAGCTTAAGGAGTTTTCAGGACCAAATTAGGTCAACAGTCCAACGTCAATATTTTTTGACACATCCTGAATAAGACCAGATAAGACCAGATCCCCAATGGCAGGACTGTCAAAATCCAGCAGAAAGATGGTTTAGACGTGCACATGGCACATGCACACAGAGTTATGACGGAGCCTGGTGCGGCCAGCAAAGAGTGCCAATCGAGCATTAACATTAGAATATATATGAATATATATATATATATATTAGTTAGATATAGTTAGATACTGTACAACAATGTAGGGAAGACTCAAGCGATGTAGGCAAAGAGCTAATAGTCCACTGAATCTCATATCATTTGATGATTCTGATTGTTTCTCTCTTTTTGACTGCGCGTTGACTTCGGGTGATTTGTGAAAAGAGCTCACTTTGCCAAATTTACTTCGCCATGGACCCTAAACAGTTTGAGGAGCTGAAGGTCAGCTGCCCTGGGCTGAAAGATGCTGACCAAGTTGTTCAATACATTTCAACACAGTTGGACATGAAACCATATGACTCATGACAATATGACACCTCTCAAACTGTCTCAAACCCGTGAAATCCTTTCATCTCGGTCCGCTCGGTGCTTACCCTTGTGGAGCATAGGAACAGGTGGTACCAGTGGTACAGTGGTACCTTGCAAGTCTCAGTGAGATTGACAGGAGAATCTCTGGGACTTTATGAAGACCGAGCATCTCGTCTCAAATGGTGATTCAGTGCAATGATCGAACAATATCGAACTTAAATGTTGTCTGCCTGTCCATGCAATGTTGAGAGAACTCTTTACGAGAAAGGGCATGTTGCAAGTGCATCTCTAAAGCGGCATCACTGGATATTGCTCACATTCTTGTTTGCCACAATTGCTAGAGAGCCCGACACAAGAGCTGATAAGGGAATTCTATCAACATGCACTTCCCATTTGCCAATGCTTGCCACGTTTTCATTTGTGCGCATGATCGCCCATGATAGACGTTAGACATCGTTGGACCAACAGAGCATAACAGATCTCCAATTGCACCTTTGTACTGCGCTCCAGCCTGCGCGCCAGACAAACATGAAAACAACCCTCGTTTAGCATGCTTGAGAACACTGCATTAACATGTGTTAACTATAGGGCGGATGCTGGGCAGATGTGGATCTCGTTTGTTACTTGTTATGAGTCGTTTGTAGTATTTCTCTCAAATACTTTTAAACATGGTGAGTTGACGATGAGTATCATGATTGTCACACACGCGCAGGATTTACCCAAACGAATTGCGGCACATCAAGGAGGTGCCTGGCATGGAAAGCAAATGATACACAGGATATCAAGAGTTGAGATGTTCGAAATGTTCACATATCATAATGTATAATGGGGCCAAACATTAGACACTTTATGATAATGTGGGCTGAGGTTTTTGATGGTTTTTGCATGGAGACGAGCAAGTAAAACAGCCTCCCTTTTCTGGATGAAACTAATCAATTCCTTGCCGTAAGCACCGTAAGCACGGACAAAGGGCGCACAAGCCAACTGCGTCAACCAAGCGAACTTGACCATGTTTTTAAGATATTGAGACATCAAGACTTGAGTTGTGTAAACTCCGAATGATTGACATGTTTATATTCGTTTCGACGGGTTGTTTTGTTGTTTTGTTCCATTTGTATCCATTTGTCGTTGTTGTTTATTTCGTTGTTTTATTTGTTTTCAGGTGAAGGACATCCGCTCCAACGGACCGAGTCACTGGAAACAGCCGCAAATTATGTTCGAACTGCGAGAGAAGGCGAAGGCACCCGAGCTCCGAAAACACGGTGGCTGCGTGTACAGTGACATGTTTGACATGTAGATTATGTGTTAATACATGTCATATCATGTCATATCATTAAGAATCATTGAAGCATACTAAGATTATCTAAGATTGTACTTGCAGTAAGTACATGCTTTACATGTGTATGAAATATGGTTAATTCCGATATAAAATACTTCATGCATATAAAATATTATAACATTATAGTGCATTGTACGATATATAGTATATGGAGTTTGATGCAGTATCATAAGGCATTATCTGATGTCTACAGGTACAGGGCAGATATGTTTGTATCCACATTTTAGGCAACAGCTATTATCCCGTAGATGCGAACACACACACACACTATATATATAATATTATATAATATTATATAATTATATATATAATATATACACAGCCATGTCAATACACGCATACAAACCAGTTGTCCTTGTAATGGACAAGACACGTGCCCGGCCCAATCATTAATTCATTGCTTGCATATTGGGACTTTCAATCTCTTTCAAACGCATAGCTGAAGTATTTGAACCGCATATCCGTATCCATTCCCACAGCCTTGTGTAGTGGACTCTCGTCCAGCGGAGGTGGACTGCGTGCCTAAGCGTGTAGCCACATGTTTGTGTAAGTGTCACTTTGATGATTCGCGTGCCCCGCCCACTGCCACCCTCTCGGCACGCGGGAAGGAGTCTGTGCCCATGCTTGGGCAGGCATATGCTATGCCTTTTTATGGTGTAAGTGTTTGGCTTATGTTAAGCCTGTACGCCCAATGCTTTTCCCATTCCGCAAAGAGAAAGGGGCCGCTGCTCGTATAATTACTCAGGGTGGACACGGTGCGGGTTGCAATTAGCGTTACTAACCTGTGCCTTGTAGATGTCTAGTGCGTAACGGTAACGCTTTAGGTAAGTCTGTCCCTACGAAGATAATTTGAAAAAAAAGTACGAAGACTCCAAGCAAATCTTGCAGTACTATCCTTTAGAACCTTTGGACACTACATACGCACTCGCTTTTGCTCTCCCTCTGATAGGAAATACATTGAGATACATCATATCACATCAAAGTACTGCATAACACAGCATAGGAGTCATAGGAGCGTGCAACTGCGTGAATGCCATCATGGATTCTGAATCTCGGACCCAGCCAGTCAACCTCAAGTGTTCCAAGATGTTCCAAGGCAAGTTAAGGGAAACTTGTTTTGGCAGCTGGAAGCGACCATTTCAGTCTGTACATGTCTGTACTATTTTGATCGATTTTGTACTTTGAAGTTGTGTTTCAAATGTAATTATTTACTGTAAACAATTCATGACTAAAGGCTACCTGAGAGGTGTGGAAACCAAGTCAACCAGAATAAGCGCGCACATAGAACTTCTCACTACATTTGTAATTCTGAGTTCAATTCTCATGTCATTGACTATTTTTCCCGTAAATTTTATGATTCTACGGTTTCTCCAATAAAGAACAAATATTGTGCTTACCTCATTACCACAATGTTTCATTTCCGCTTCGACTGTCCGACTGGAAAGATATCAAAATCATATTTACAAAATTTAATCACTACTTGTGCTACGTTGGTAGCCACCATGTTACAGACCTGCACACCATGCAGACGAATGCGCCTGTTTCCAAGCACTTTCCAGTCCAATTACTGCACTCTTTTCTCCAGTCTCTTCTCCACTTCCTACTTCAGAAGGACATGTCACATTGTTCAGAAAACATCACGACTTCATTGCCAAACTCTCCAGAATGATCCTCTGCGACACTCTCTGAGAAAGCATGTATATAATAGAGTTTGATGTTGCACGATTGACATGTCCACAGATTGATGGTTATCAATGGTTATCAGATTATATTGTTTGTATTTAAAGCAGACATCGGATGCAAACTGCTGTCGAATTCATTGCAGCTGCCGAAGTCTTGAATCAACACAAATCAAGTCGCAGTGGCAAATTCAGAACACACCCATAGTCTCTCTTTCACTCTACAAGATATCCTGTAGGTCCTGTACACTTGATCTAAACATATTGAATCATAGTGATGTAGGATAAACATGGATAAACGCAAGTTTGAAAGATGCATAGATGTGATATATCATGATGCGTCCTTCCAGTCCTTCCTCCCTTTTTGGCATGAATTCCATGTTGCTCGAGCAACTGCGGCTGCATCTTGTTTTGGCAACTCACCATGTCAGGCTCGCGGGCTTTGGTACGGACCTCAATGGGCAGGGTCCGGAAAACTTGCTTGGCCATTTCGGCCACTCATTTCTAAAAAAGGCATCCAATATGATCAATTTGAATCAATTTGATATATATTTGGTATCCTGAATTCAAACACCACCCTTTCAGGAAATCTCGTTTTGTGCAGGCCATTAGACTCATCATTAGACTCAGTAGTCCAGCATCCAATGGACCTGCTCATGCTGGAAATGGGCGCTAATATTAACTCTGCGTCAATAAACTCACTTGGATTAAGTGGGGTCACCCATGGTCACCCCTAAAATAGTGATAAATCACTAATTTTTAAAACTGTTACCACATATTATTGGTGAACTAGAACTTCGTTACTGTAACCAGGGTTAATATATGTTAATATATGTTAATATAATAGATATAATAGAAATGCTTCAGCTTTGCAGCAAGACCATGAATGGGGCTCACCTATATGTACGCTCCAAGAAAGAAGGGCATTCAAATTGTTGTTGACTTGAACAACACGAAAATAACATCATTATAGGCCGATTGATTTTGCATCAAAAGTCTTGTGGATCAGGCAGGAAAACTTAAGCAATCCACAGATTTTGCTTTATACCAAGACAGTCTCGCCACACCCACAAATTCAAACTTTGACGCTTGAAAACAGACGCCTGGAAGCAGATTCGTTCCCAGAGTCATCCATTCACCCAGGAATTTGTTTCTGCCTGTGGATTCTGCTCAACTTGCGGGCCGCAAGGGTGGTGGTCTAACAAACCTGCAGCAACTTGACTGAAGACAACCGTGGCATGTTATGGGTATCAAAGCTATAGCCTTTACTCGAGCCAACTCAGCCAGACTTTGTTTGTCGTTTCGCATTTTGCAAGACACAATGCTTCCAAAGATTCTCCGTGCTTGAAGCTTCACACTACTTCATTGTAGTACACTCCTTCGTTTGGGATATGTTTGCATTTTGCTAGAAATGTCTTGAGGTACGCAGATTGCGTAGAACTCAGTGGCACAGCAACCCTGAAGTTGATTTTTGGTCTTGGAAGAACTACTGCTGGAATTTTGGATTTATAGTCGAAACATTAAAGGTAACCAACCGGCGCGGACATGGAAGTGAACATGGGTGTTCAGAAGTCAATGCCTCAATTGGAACATGAGAACTCACCGAGGGCTCAATGAAGGCTATGCCCAGTGGACTTTCTGAGCTAATGTCAAAGCTGCCATGAGCTGCCTTAGGAGAGGGTCTGCACAGCAAGCCGTCAGGTTGTGAAATCATGGGCACTGCAAACCATGCCGAGTTTGCGGCGGAGGTGTGGTATATGCTTGGACTACAGATGGAGCAGATGGTGGGACAATGGATTTGACAAAGGTATATATATATATGTATATATATATATAAATTTAATGTATTTTAATGTAATTTAATGGTCGGGATTTTATTCAAAGCTTTCCAGGGTACAAGTCTCCAGATCCAGATCTATTTGTGGAGAAAGGCATGTAATTAATGTAATTAGCTCATTCGCCAGGCTTGCAACTGTGCAAGTCCAGATACCGGCAACATGGAGGCAGGTCCACAGAGGAGTTTGTCCCTTATTTGAGAACTCAGCGCACTTGTGTCGGGAAATGTGTCGAGCACGTTGCTGTTTTGCTACTTACTTACTACAGTATGTTTGCCCAGTGAGAACGCCGAGTTTCGCTAACCCTGAATTACTTTGAGTCATTCACTGCCAGTTTTTCTTGCGCTGAGTGCGAAATAGTGCGATAATGTGCGATAGGTTCTGGCGAGATTTGGCACGGAAGAGCAGAAGAAGCAGTGGCTTGTGATTGCCTTGATTTTCTGTAGAAGCCGAATACTATTATAGTAAAGTGAGATCACATCATCTGTATGAAGACTCGAGTAGAAATTGAAGGCGATCTAGATAGTCCGAGGGTTCCCATCGAATGCCGTAGGTTTCCTTTTTGTGCTTTGACGTGGCATATACGTTGAGATGCAACCAGCAAATGACGCTTCCAAGGAGCCTTTGCTGGATGCCAAAATCCGATCGTGCTATGCTGGAGTCATAGTTGCCGGCCCACACCCTGTCCCGGATCCATCACAAGTCTGATTGACTGAGGTGCTTCAGGTGTTTGTGTAGAGACTTGTATGTATAATGTGCATAATATGCATACCGTATGCATACCGTATGCATACCATATGCTTTGTGGATCTTTTTGGTAAGAACCGACGAAAGATCGAAACATTTATATAGTTCGACCGCTTAGGTGGATAGGCATGCAAAGCACATCAAAGCACCTTCAACCCAACTCTATCCTTGGGCTCCAGAATCTGAAGTGATTGAGACGTCTATAGGTACTAGTACTGTCTAGTCCTAGTGTCAATATTTGTTGGTTCGCCTCGTGAAGGACTCCAAGGCTTGGACTTGGCAGAGTGACACGCATGTTGATGTTTAGTTTCACCCATGTATACAAATATATATATAATTTATATATCATATTAACATGATAGATTATATCATGTTAGCTCCCAGCCCCGTCCCCAGGCAACTGGTCACGAAACCCTTGTTTGCTTGTTTTCCGGTTTGGGGTGGGGGGGATGTTAACGTCCCTGTGAACTTGCTAACGTCATGTATGCTTCGTGAACTTCGGGGTTGCCAGGGTTATATTATATTATATATACACAATATTACACAAGGAAAATCTCATTTAGGTACATATATATATATATGTATTTAAACATGTGCATACATATAGATTTATTTTCACTATTATATACTGTACATACAACTGTACATATTTTCTTGTTTATATTTATGCACATAAATATACTTCTCATTTATTTATATATATATATCATATGTATATATATAATATACATATACTTATATTAAGACAACTTAAATTAATTTGTCGGGGAATGTTAGGGTCTTCACCTTTCTTTTACAAAAAATATCTTGCAACGCTCGCTGATTATGGCGCAAGAACAAAAGAGCACAAGGCGCAAAGAACAACAGGCACCAAAAAACACCAGTTGCCCAAGGGCGGCGCGACCTATTAGCTAGCCAGGTACTCGTAGCTTACATTCGAAATATTGAGCAACAAACTTTCAGGACAGGAGGCTGCGCAACCAATGTTTCCTAGTGACGAACCAAAGGATTTTAAAGGATTCTTGCCAGCATGGGATCCATGCAATAGAGAATCAACAATTATAAAATATTTTAAATGGGGTTAGGTCATTTCTCTCTGCCCCTGTGTCGCCTTCATATCGGCTTCAAGCGACCGCCCCAAGGCTATGACTGAACCTGCTGTAGCCAGCAGTGATGCCACAAACATCAGGACAGACACGTGATTTTGTTTTAATACATACATATGTATATATATATAATTATATATATATAATTATATATATATAGTGTTTACATTATTTTGTTCAAGGAGGCTTGCAGTAGGGTGTCAGAAGATGGAAAAAAGAGTTCAGAATCTTCCAGGGGTGCTCATGGCTTCATTGGTCATCCGTAGGTACCGCAGTCGCGTGGCTTTGCAAGTTTGGGACATCCTCCTTCGTTAGATTTTGAGAATCTCTTACCCGATTCTTTTGAGACTTTGTATTATCATGACACTAGTATATATGTATTGATGTTGCCACCAGGCACTAGGCATTAGTATTTAGAATATTTTAGAATCAGTCTTTCTTGAGGTTCACCAAACTTTGTCGCAGGACAATGATCACTCGAGATGGTGACCACTGGGTCATTAATGGCCACCCACTGAGGTGATCCAAAGTTGTCAGTCACACGGATGCAAAGCATGATCGACCCCACGGCATGCCATGTTTTTCTTCGCATTATTCATGGAAGTTTATATAAGTTCATGGAAGTTCAACATTTGGCCTAGGGCCGCCTAGGGCCTGGGGATTGCCAAGCCAAGGCCGAAAGCACTGGATCACTGGCGCTGGGAAGCTGGGCTGAGACCGACAGTCTCCTGAAAGATCTGAGAGCTGAAATCTCACAAAGGCACAAGACGTGACATATCTTTTCCGAACCACCCATAGTTCACCCTACAACAGATTCCATTCTAGCATGCTCTAGCCTGGCAATGTTGTGATTGTGGAAGATCTGAGAGTTGTTTGTTTTAGTTGTTGGAAGATGATGGAAGATGCGCAAAGGCCACAACTTCGATCGCATTGCAGCTCTTCAAGGGGTCAAACGGCTTCCCCCTCAACTGATCACTGGCCCTCTCTTGCCCCTGTTCTACCTTGCTCAGGAATATTGACTGCAAGATAATGATTTTGATGGGCAGGTGCGCAAACTGGATGGCAGATCTAGAGAAACTACTTTGACACATCAAGCAAGAGTTGACGCAAATTCCTAGGATTTAAGGCAATTCACCAAGCAGAACCACTATGGCACCTTTGCCTTTCGACAGTACCAACTTTGCGACATCATTCTCAGAACCCACGACAGTCTTGTGTTAGTCTTGTGGTAAGGGTGAGGGCCAAAATGGAAACTGTATCTCATTGAACAGCTCAGCAAGCAAAAACTGCTCATCATGCGAAATTCATTTGGGTGAAATTCATTTAAGGCTCCCCAAACCTCCCGAGTGATTGTATGAAGGGATATTGAGATGACGTGCCTTTGCAGCTGAACAAATATGAAAAATAGTTGCAAAAGATTTGCGAACGGCTTTTCAGTGCTATGCCGCTGTGTCTTGCATAATATATATATACATATATATATACATTATATTGCCCCATTGTGACCGTTGTGAGTCGGTATTGTAGATTATTGTTCTGTATTGTTTTTGGTCCAGTCGACACTGCCTTGGTGCCTTGTGGCATTACCGTATTGCAGGACTGGCCCAAAGGATGCAGCGACATACAGATCTCAATCGCAGATCTTAGTGCCAATGGTTTGCTCCTTGGGACCATCGAAACTTGAGAGATCTTGACAGTCTTTCGTTTGCCAGTTCACCTGAGAAGGAAAGTAGGGGCATGTAAATGTATATCTAAGGGCTGCCGCCCCTGCCGCCGACCCCGGAAGGCCAGAGACTTCGGACAAAGTGACATAGTCGGTGGATTACCAAGGTCACCAGATTGACCTAAATATTCTTCAGTGCTTCGCACTTTCAGGCTTTCCCCCTTGTTTATATGTATATTTTCCCAAACCCCTTCACCCCCCTGAGCAGTTCCTCGACGACTTCAACCAGAGTCTGGGTCTTGAGCTCGTGAATTATTAAATAAACCTTCCCATTAACCCCCCTTCTGTGGCAAGGTGCAGTGTTGTGCCATGGCAAGGCGTAGACACGAAGTAAGACACACAGTAGGCATAATAGCATCCAGTATTTCCGGCACCAATAGTTCAGGTATTCTATTCAAATTGTAGGGATTTGGTATCGCAGCTTTTTATGTAGTCCAGGATCAGGACCTTGTCCTGGGAGTTCTACAAATATGTGTAGCTTAGTTTCACTTGAATAAAAACGACTCCAGATTTTTGTCCTTGGACATTTCTTACCATGACTTCTGTCCTTGCAATTTGATGGACTTTGGCTGGTATGTATGTATGCAACGTAACGTTATGTAGTGTAATTTACTGTACTGTAAATGTACTGTAAATGTACTGTCTTTGTATTGTTATATCAGCCCCTGTTACTTTTCGCTTGTGCTCACCGCATTTTACGGTAAAATTATGGTTCCCGCAACACTTGCCAAATTTTGGCTACAGAGGTCAAATAATGCATACGGACGTCAAAAAACAAGGTTTACCGCAAATGTCAGCAAATAGACCCAGCATTTGATTCACAGGGATGATATATAGCTACGTACTTTTTTCTCCTGCTGCTGTGAAGACGCTCCTACTGCTGCTGCTGCTGCTGCTGCTGGTGGCTAGCTACGACGCCTAAAAGCGAACCACTCCCAGCGGCAAATCGCCATGGCAGTGAAGGACGGAAAAGTTCCAAAATTGCACAGCAAAAATGCCTAACGGCCTAACGTAACTTCTGAAACCCATAGAAAATGAGATTTGTTTAGCTACCTTTTTCTCCTGCTGCAGAAGACGCTCCTACTGCTGCTGCTGCTGAAGACGCTCCTGCTGCTGCTGCTGCTGGTGGCTAGCTGCGACATCTAAAAGCGAACCACTCCCAGCGGCAAATCCCCATGGCAGTGAAGGACGGAAAAGCTCCGAAATTGCACCTCAAAAATGCCTAATGTAACTTCTGAAACCCATAGAAAAAAATGATAATTTTAGCTACTTTTTTCTCCTGCTGCTGAAGACGCTCCTACTGCTGCTGCTGCTGCTGGTGGCTAGCTGCGACCCTAAAAGCGAACCACTCCCAGCGGCAAATCCCCATGGCAGTGAAGGACGGAAAGGTTTCGAAATTGCACCGCAAAAATGCCTAATGTAACTTCTGAAACCCATAGAAAATGATGATTTTAGCTACTTTTTTCTCCTGCTGCTGAAGACGCTCCTACTGCTGCTGCTGCTGCTGCTGGTGGCTAGCTGCGATGCCTAAAAGCGAACGACTCCCAACGGCAAATCCCCATGGCAGTGAAGGACGGAAAAGTTTCGAAATTGCACCTCAAAAATGCCTAACGTAACTTCTGAAACCCATAGAAAATGATGATTTTAGCTACTTTTCTCCTGCTGCTCAAGACGCTCCTACTGCTGCTGCTGCTGCTGCTGGTGGCTAGCTGCGACGCCTAAAAGCGAACCACTCCCAGCGGCAAATCCTAATGGCAGTGAAGGACGGAAAAGCTTCGAAATTGCACCTCAAAAATGCCTAATGTAACTTCTGAAACCCATAGAAAATGATGATTTTAGCTACTTTTTTTCTACTGCTGCTGATGCTGCTGCTGCTGCTGGTGCACGGAAATTAGACTTCAAAAGTGCTGCTGCTGGTGGCTAGCTGCGACGCCTAAAAGCGAACTACTCCCAGCGGCAAATCCCATGGCAGTGAAGGACGGAAAAGTTCCGAAATTGCACCTCAAAAATGCCTAATGTAACTTCTGAAACCCATAGAAAATGATGAGTTTAGCTACTTTTTTCTCCTGCTGCTGATGTTGCTGCTGCTGCTAGTGCACCGAAATTAGACTTCAAAAGTGCTGCTGCTGGTGGCTAGCTGCGACGCCTAAAAAAGCGAACCACTCCCAGCGGCAAATCTTCATATCAGTGAAGGACGGAAAAGCTCCGAAATTGCACGTCAAAAATGCCTAATGTAACTTCTGAAACCCATAGAAAATGATGATCTTTAGCTACTTTTTTGTCCTGCTGCTGAAGACGCTCCTACTGCTGCTGCTGCTGTTGCTGCTGCTGCTGCTGGTGGCTAGCTGCGAACCCTAAAAGCGAACCACTCCCAGCGGCAAATCCCCATGGCAGTGAAGGACGGAAAAGCTTCGCAATTGCACCCCAAAAATGCCTAACGTAACTTCTGAAACCCATAGAAAATGATCATTTTGGCTACTTTTTTCTCCTGCTGCTGATGACGCTCCTGCTGCTGCTGCTGCTCCTGCTGCTGCTGCTGCTGCTGGTGCTGGTGGCTAGCTGCAACGCCTAAAAGCGAACCACTCCCAGCGGCAAATGCCCATGGCAGTGAAGGACGGAAAAGCTTCGAAATTGCACCTCAAAAATGCCTAATGTAACTTCTGAAACCCATAGAAAATGATGATTTTAGCTATTTTTTTCTCCTGCTGCTGAAGACGCTCCTGCTGCGGCTGCTGCTGCTGCTGGTGTCTAGCTGCGACCCCTAAAAGCGAACCACTCCCAGCGGCAAATCCCCATGGCAGTGAAGAACGGAAAGGTTCCGAAATTGCACCGCAAAATGCCTAATGTAACTTCTGAAATCCATAGAAAATGATGATCTTTAGCTACTTTTTTGTCCTGCTGCTGAAGACGCTCCTACTGCTGCTGCTGCTGCTGCTGCTGGTGGCTAGCTGCGATGCCTAAAAGCGAACCACTTCCAGCGGCAAATCCAGCTTCGAAATTGCACCTCAAAAATGCCTAACGTAACTTCTGAAACCCATAGAAAATGATGATTTTAGCTACTTTTCTCCAGCTGCTGAAGACGCTCCTACTGCTGCTGCTGCTGCTGCTGGTGGCTAGCTGCAACGCCTAAAAGCGAACCACTCCCAGCGGCAAATCCCCATGGCAGTGAAGGACGGAAAAGCTTCGAAATTGCACCGCAAAAATGCCTAACATAACTTCTGAAACCCATAGAAAATGATGATTTTAGCTACTTTTTTCTCCTGCTGCTGAAGACGCTCCTGCTGCTGCTGCTGCTGCTAGCTGCGACGCCTAAAAGCGAACCACTCCCAGCGGCAAATCCCCATGGCAGTGAAGGACGGAAAAGCTTCGAAATTGCACCTCAAAAATGCCTAATGTAACTTCTGAAACCCATAGAAAATGATGAGTTTAGCTACTTTTTTTCTACTGCTGCTGATGCTGCTGCTGCTGCTGGTGCACGGAAAGTAGACTTCAAAAGTGCTGCTGCTGGTGGCTAGCTGCGACGCCTAAAAGCGAACCACTCCCAGCGGCAAATCCCCATGGCAGTGAAGGACGGAAAAGCTCCGAAATTGCACCTCAAAAATGCCTAATGTAACTTCTGAAACCCATAGAAAATGATGATTTTAGCTACTTGTTTCTCCTGCTGCTGAAGACGCTCCTAATGCTGCTGCTGCTGCTGCTGGTGTCTAGCTGCAACGCCTAAAAGCGAACCACTCCCAGCGGCAAATCCCCATGGCAGTGAAGGACGGAAAGGTTTCGAAATTGCACCGCAAAAATGCCTAACGCAACTTCTGAAACCCATTGAAAATGATGATTTAAGTTACTTTTCTCCTGCTGCTGAAGACGCTCCTGCTGCTGCTGCTGCTGCTGCTGCTGGTGGCTAGCTGCGAACCCTAAAAGCGAACCACTCCCAGCGGCAAATCCCCATGGCAGTGAAGGACGGAAAAGCTTCGCAATTGCACCCCAAAAATGCCTAACGTAACTTCTGAAACCCATAGAAAATGATGATTTTAGCTACTTTTTTCTCCTGCTGCTGAAGACGCTTCTGCTGCTGCTGCTTCTGCTGCTCCTGCTGCTGCTGCTGCTGCTGGTGGCTAGCTGCAACGCCTAAAAGCGAACCACTCCCAGCGGCAAATCCCCATGGCAGTGAAGGACGGAAAAGCTTCGAAATTGCACCGCAAAAATGCCTAACGTAACTTCTGAAACCCATAGAAAATGATGATTTTAGCTACTTAGTAGTAGTAGTAGTAGCAGTAGTAGTAGTAGTAGTTAGTAGTAGTTAGTAGTAGTTAGTAGTAGTTAGTAGTAGTTAGTAGTAGTTAGTAGTAGTTAGTAGTTGGTAGTTAGTAGTTGGTAGTTAGTAGTTAGTAGTAGTAGTAGTAGTAGTAATAGTAGTAGTGGTAGTAGTAGTAGTAGTAGTAGGTAGTAGTAGTAGGTAGTAGTAGTAGGTAGTAGTAGTAGGTAGTAGTAGTAGGTAGTAGTAGTAGGTAGTAGTAGTAGTAGTAGTAGGTAGTAAGTAGTAGTAGGTAGTAGTAGTAGGTAGTAGTAGTAGTAGTAGTAGGTAGTAGTAGTAGGTAGTAGTAGTAAGTAGTAGTAGTAGGTAGTAGTAGTAGGTAGTAGTAGTAGTAGTAGTAGTAGTAGGTAGTAAGTAGTAGTAGTAGTAGTAGTAGTAGTAGCAGTAGTACCTCTTTTTCCCTTACGCGCTCCCCCTTGCGTCGGCCGGGGTCGGCGGATAATATTAACCAGGAAGTTGCTCACAGGAAGGGTATGGAAAACTGCAAGGCAACATAAAGCAACTGTGTATTTGATCATATTTGACCCTTTTTATCCCTTTTTGCCCCAGACGAAAAGTTTTTTGTTTGCCCTTTGGAGCTCTGTGCGAAAGCCAAAACTACCAAAAGCTGATACAGGTCTTGACAATCTTGATGATACTGTATGAATCTGTATGACATATATGAGACTGCATTGTTACATTGTTCGTGGGGTGACGGTTTGCCTAACGGCACCCTTCATGCAACCGAGGACACCCCCGGCATCACCCTGGTTCGGCCCATGGAGACTTTTGGAGATGACGATTGCCCCAAAGGCCACATGGAAATTCTTTTTGAGGACGCCACGCTACACTTTGTCCTCGCAGACCGTCGCAGACTTCAGTATGTACTGAAATGTATTGACTTTCTGAATGTTCAGACTAAGATTCCTCAAACATATGTGGTCTCCCTCTTGCGAAAGAAGCAGCAACATTTATGATGTGCACCGTGCAAATTCACTCAAGAGTGCCCCAGGATGTTCGCGTGCCATTGGCCAACATGATATGGGGCGAGGCGGGACCCACAGATCCCATCAAGATCATTTGTTCATTTTTGTTCAACAATGTGTGACACCACGCAACTGTAACTGCGGGTAGCAAACTTGTAACTGCGCTGGTGGCCACCACGTCACTACGTGTCTCTGGCAACGTTCTCCTTCCAGGGCCGCGGATTTGAAATTGCCCAGTTGCGCTTGGGTCCAGGGCGTACAGTCCTCAGTCATGGCACCGTACTGTAGGTTCTAACCGAACAGCGTCATTTTAGTTGACCTTTGGATGCCTTTGGTGTATTGCAGATGCTGGTTGTGATGTCATCCATGGAAACTTCCGGAAACACCAGTGGATTTTTACTCAGACGCTGGAGGTTTTTGTTGTAGTATTGCTTCGATGTTTCCTAGATTTATATACGTATACGTAGTCCTCTACGACCGAGATTAGCTTTGCTATTCCAATCTTCCGGACTGCCTGGTTTATCTGGAGCTGGTCAACTGCCATCCTTCCATTTGCGACCATCTCACAGAAACCTGCAAAACAAGTTTAATCTGGATGGATCTTCATATTATAATATATGAGCTACAGCCAAAATTTAGCGTAATGGAAAGTAGTATTCGAGACATCTGTATTTTTGGAAATTGAGCTGGGGCTTGGAATCTGGAAAACCATAATACCAGTACACTCTTCAAACAACGATAACATTTGCTATATTCCCAAAACTTGAAAAACTATGATACACTCTTCAAAAATTGATGACTTGGAGCTATATACTAAATATTGACCATGGCCCATATGCATGATGTAGACTACTTGATCTAGTTGATTGGTTAGCTACTCACTTGGTTGCTTGGTTGGTTGGTTGGTTTGTTGGTTGGCTAGCTGGTTCTTTAGAATGGATATACAGACGGACAGACAGCAAGCCAACCAGCCAGGCAGGCAACCAGACAGACAGGCAGGCACAGAGATAGAGAGTGACATAGCTAGGATTAGCTAGGTACATAGAAAGATAGATGCATACCCAGCAGCCAGGCACGCACTACATGGACCCACCACATACACTACCACATCTTACCACCTCACGAAGCCAAAATCGTGTTCACCATTCCCATCCGGACTCCACAATGATCCAGACATATTTTGACATATTTTGACACAGTCTCACAACAACATCTCACGACAGCCAGATGGTGGCCCTGCAATCATCTTGTGATTGGACCATTTGAGTCGTCAAGTGGTCAGCTGTTTAGAAGTTTAGACCATTGGTATACCATTTGCATGCAGTCACGAGTCACGCCCGGAGCACGTGTCGGAGGACTCTGCAGATGCCAGGAAAATCAAAAAACCCTCTATCGGTATTCAGTATCACAACATTTCACAACTATAGGCCCTGACAAGTGTCTCTTGCCCATTGGAAATGCCAGGCATACACCATTGCATGCGCATGATCGGACAGGTGCCTGGACAAGTCTGGTGGTAGATGAGTGGCTGGTGTGGCCTCATGGCATGTAATGTTGGAGATTGCCGAACCATGTCGCTCTTGGATCTTGAATTCTAGTTCTGAGTCTCGAGCTAGTCTGTTGCTGTCACGCAATCGAAATATCACGCGCTTCAAAATTTTATGTGGTAGCTGCTTCGAAAGGCTCGAGAGAGTTTTTTGGTGAAGCGTGAGGTTGTACATGGAAGACATTCCTCATTTCGAGACTTGTTTGAACCAGTTGTACTAAACACGAAGAGATGTCCTGACCAGGCAGAACGTGCTTTGAGCCACATGTGCCGACGGGGTCCCAGTATGTCGCAATCTTTTGATACTCAATGGATCTTAATGGATCTAAATAGATCTAGTGTTTAAGAAAAGTACTGTTGTTTAAGTTAAAGTCTTGTTTGTTTGCAGACGTTACACTCAAGGAAATGCTTTCATTGTCATTCACATTGTCATTCGAAACTTCATAAACTTCCCATCTCATCCATCTCAGGTCGAGCAAGTTCGCGGCAAGCCTTTGGACAAAAGCTCTCAGAGATGGGCAGTGTTGCACGAAACTGAGCGAACCGGAGCCAACAGAGCCAGTGCAGCACAAAGATGCAGAAAGCATAAAGCGAAGTGCAACATTGTGTCGTATTGTGTCGTACAGGCAAAACTTTTACATACTTTTACGACCCTTATGTGATTTTAGAATATTTTAGAATATAGTTAACTGTCAGCAACTCGACTACAATTATATAATTAGTTTGGTTTTGTTCGGATTTTAGATGGATCACATACACATTATACACATTCATACAGTAAGGACACTGCATAAGGTCGAGCTGTTGAGGTAGACTGAGGCATGGGCTCATCTGAACTTTCTGGAGCTGATCTAGTAATAATAGTATTCTGAAGTATCAGAAGTATCTGAAGTGGCAGATGTCGAGGTCCAGCAGATTGCAGAATGTCGAGCAGAGATTGACCAGGCAAGAGAGGGAAGACAAGAAGAAGTCACGAAGACATGTGAATGAAGAAATAGAATGTTATATAGTTATAGAATGTTATAAATAGAGGTATGAAACTTGAATGGACTTGAATACAAAGTGCAAAAGGTGGGTACCCTAGGGCCTTAATGGTTTTCCTTTTCCGTGTGAAGGTGTAATACGGTAGTTTGCACTAGGTCACAAGTGGCTAGAGTGATCCTTGGCATTCCTTTGTATATACTATATAGTATATATTATTTATTATACTATACGCTTCTTCGCAAGCGTTTCCACCGGCCATTCCCGAAGCGGTTTGGAATGACGTCAATGAAGAAGTAATGAAGATATATAATTGAATAGATTATAGGTCATGATTCGGTCACGTTTGTTTTTTCTCAAAGATAATGTTAGTGGGGCGGGATTAAGCTCCATGGATGAGACCACGAAAAGGCGAAAAGGTGGCAGAACCGCGAAGTGCTTCAAGTAAACTTTTGATCCGCGAAAAATGGCGGTTTGCAGATTAAAGAATTCAGATCAGACCCCATATAGAAATATAGAAAATATGTAGTAAATTATATGAATACAGAATACATGATAATGCTCCTACATGATCGTACATGCATATTCTGCGCTGTCCCAGCGGGCAGGCTCGCCTTCTCGTTCGGGAGGCAGCGGACAGGATGGACAGGCACGGTACTCAATGCGGGATCATGGGGGATCCAAAAATGAACAAGGTGCCTAAACAATCCTAAACAAATCCAAACAGACCTAAAGAGTCTTTTCCACACTTGTAGCATATTGTATTGCCTATGAAACTGTGATGGCTGTGGCATGACGGATCTTGTTGAATCGACATGATCATGGTTTGACAATGTTTGACCTCGTGGAACTTCTACAAGAACCATTCGATTGAAATTTGGATATATTTGGATCTATAGAAACTGAATTACATGGATCATAAGGCCTTCAAACTGGACACGGCCATGCTGGTACCGTGCTTTGCTCTTGTTGTAGCTAGGAGGTGCCGCTGGATGCCGATGCAACTAGCTACTGGCACTTAAAGTCCCATTCACAGCGTAATGAAACCATGTCAAATCTAGGACAATCGCAGATGTGCTGACTTCCCATGACCATGCATGTGTCTACATACACCACTTCGGGTTCAGAGTTGGCAGTAGTGGCAGTAGTATATAAGATCTGATATTGGCTGCTGGCACAGGCTTGGCAACACTGACCACTACACGAGGAAGCTTTTGAGCTTGGTGAAGGCACCTTCTACTGTAACTTCAAACTCAAACAGAAAGTTGCAGCGTCTTTAGCGAAGCTAAGGAGGCTTCCCAACAGCCACAAAGTACGTCAAGTTATATACCCAAAGACATTTGAGCAACCGTCAAAACTCGCGGATACTAAGATATGTATTGGCTGGACATTGGTTTTCAGAAAGTGCAAAAAACTGTGGATGGGACCTTTCCAGATTATGTTGATGTCCTTTTCATGAACAAGGAGTTTTGACAGCCGCACATTTGATTTCACTTCAGGGGAGAGTTCGGTCAGATTCAGTGAAAATAGCTAGTCTATTGATGCCTATTCCTATGCCATTTCTAGAACAGTACTCAGAGTCAGTTTGGAGTTTGCGCATTCATGTCATTCATGCAGTGATGTACATGAGCTTGTTGCGGATGCTGACTGGTTTATCGTGACATATCGTGACTATGTAGCTCTAGAAAGGCAACATGACTACCGCACAGAAACTCGACACTCCACACTTTACACTCCACACGTTACACTTTACACTCCACACTTTACACTTCACACCCCACTACAATCCACACTGTACACTGTACATCACTGTACACTCTACACTTGACACTCTCCACACTTTAGACTTTACACTCTACACTCCACACTACACACTCCACACTTGACACTCCTCACTCTACACTGTACACTTCACACTCTACACTTTACACTCCACCCGTTACACTCACCCTTTACACTCGACACTCTACACTCTACAATTTACGAAGACTCTGAGAATTGCTGAGTAACGAATTCACCTACAGCTTGAGAAGCTGACACACACACAGAGTGTCTCTCACACACACAGCGCATGTCTGAGTTTACTTTATGTGGATGCATCAGATCATGCTGCAATCCTCTGATCTGGATCAGCGCAAGAAACCACCAGCTGATTGATGCTGATTGTCGCATAATATTTGATGACCACAGACCCAATAGACAACATGATCAGGTCCATACGACACGTAGATTCAGTGTAGATGGTTGTATGACTTGTATGATTGCTATTCATTTTGATTTGGCCTTTTCATCCTTTTGGCTTGTGATTTGGAAGCTTTCTGCTGTTCATTATCGTTGTCTCCCTTGTTGACTGCGTCAAGTTACCGTAATTCTAAGAGGGAATGCTGAAGTTGTGGTGGGTGTAGCACTAACCAGCAAAGTATTTTGCATCAGTTTGACATTCCTTTCATTTCTTTTCTGATCACTGATAATACTATATAATACTGATATATTCAGATCATTATTGTCAGTGTCATCCTCATCTCATCGCCATGATCCTCCGTTCATGAATCATAATCCATCACGAATCCAATTTCATCCGCCATCGATCCCGTGTCCTTGTTCAGCCTTGCAAAAAGACTTCTCAAGGCAGTGGTGCCTAGCATGTCCGACGGCCCAGTTGATATCAGTTATACAATTATGATCAATTATGATTGACATGTTAATTTATGTTAATTGATGTTAATTGATAATTGATGGTACTCTCGGGCAAATGCAAACACCAATTTTCACACAGATGTGTATCATTGTGTATCTACTTGCCAAGCACATTCAATCATGTCCAATCTCTCACATTTGAATCGACGCATATGAAGTCAGGGGATTGAAGTTTTTCCCCAGAATAAAGGAGGTCATAGGAATCGGACAAAGTTTGTAGGCTCAGAATCGGACAAAAGCAGAAAGTCATAGAAACGCCTTTCCTATCACATCCAATGCCATAAAAATGAAATCCAAACTCTGACTGGAGGACACAACGCGTTGTGGATCGTGCAATGCAGATCCATGGTGGGGTTGGAGGACGAGAATGATGGGCAAGCTGGGAAGTGGTGTTGAAGCCACAGCCTTGTGCTGAGAGGATCTGAGAAGTAAACATGCAGGCTGAATCTTGCTTGTCGGTAGAGGATGATAGTCTCAACTTACTCGCTTTGTTTGCGTCGTTTGGCTGGTGAAGTAGGATGGTACAGGCCAATCTAGTTCCTGCACATTAACTAGTAACTAATACAGGTATGGAGTCTGGAGGTTTCTGCATGATGATATCAGTTTCATTGTGAGCCGATCGACGTTCTTGATTGCTACGTCCAGTACAGTATTGCATTTGCACTACTTGTAGGCGGACACTGAGACTTCTCGGGTAGCTTTCAGCGTGCCCCCACGCCACTGGTCTGAACACTCACTAGAAGCTTGACAAACGGTTGCTTTTAGGGTAAGTTGCCATAATTTGCCATACATTGTCCATTGATGTCGATAGGAATTCACATCCTTCAAACTGCTTGAATATGCAATGAGCCTCCCCACCTTTTTCTGATTGTTTGCCAAAGGATCTCAAGACAGTTTCTTGCCCGCTGCCTTTGTTGGGCGCAGACCTCAAATGTGAGACCTTTTCACCATGATTTTGCCTCTGATTTGTATTCTTCATCTACGTTGAATCCAGGCTTTCCATGGCTTTCCTCAATTTAGCATCGTGCATATCCTCCAGCTTCATTCACAGCTACAATCTACGGCGACCAATCAAGGTGTCGGAACCTCCGCTGGGCAGATGGCCCGGACGAGGCGCGGGACTCGTTTGCGGAAAAAGATATGAAACATATGAACAAAATTGAACAAATATGAACAAGGTATGAAAAGAATTGAACAGATATGAAAAGTTCACATTTGTGTCGACTGCACGCCAGCAGTACTGCTCTGAAACACCCTACTGATCCCTACTGCACTTCTTGGTTGATTTTCGTGAGCATGAGGAGTGAACAAATTTAATTCTCTTCCTTCTCCAGCTATTTAATTTGGTCTTCTGATCTCTGTTTCTGGAATACTTTGGATGCAAAGCTATATTGTGATGCAGTGTTAGTTCAATATATACTTGATTTCTGTATGTTTTGTATGGATATTAATGATATATATATATATATATATATTATACGCACATGTGATATGGAATTATGACGAATTATGTGTATATATCACATCATAAACACTCGCACAAACACACACACACACAGACAGAAGAGTAAACAAACCGACCTCAGCCTATTGTCTGCAAATTCCCCTGATCTCCACACCTCCCTACCTCCCCTCCGGCAGAAGTTGAATCTACATACCTGCATAGAGGTACGAAAAAAGGCAGGCAGGTAGGCAGGCATCTAGGTAGGAAGGGAAGTGCACGCCTCCATACAGAGACGTGGTGCAGACCTACTTGCCTGATCTTGCCTGCATATCCGTTCAAAATTCCCCCCATCAATTTGTCCATGATCATGTGTCCGACGTGTCCCAAGCACTGAATGCAGTCTTGCGTTTATACATCATCAGGTGCATTGGAGAACGGCAGGACGTTTGGAGCTGTCGTTTCAAAGGACTGCTTTGCTTTTGTCCTGAGCAATCTTCAAGCCCATGTTGATTTGAATTCTGTGCCCCTGTCTTGTCAAATCACATTTATGTTTTGACTTTGACGATGGCCGTTCAGATTTGACAGCGGAATACGTACTAGATATTCAGGATTTTGTTGTAATTTGTTGAAACAGAGGGATAATTTTTGTTGTGCTTATGGGTGCAGACTTCGTTGAATCCTGTCGTCTTCAACGCAGTTCTGTAGCATCAACAGATCTCGATTTTAGCGATGCTGTTTGCTGATGTTTGGTGTAGAGGAAACAATCCCCGCTCTACCAGATCGAGCTGTATGACCATGACAAAAGCACGCCCTTCCGTGCTAAGCTTTGAGATGGATTGTCCATCGGAGCAATCCTAGCCCCAAGCAGGTTGCAATTTTGTTGATGATATAGCATTTTGCTTCCAAGACTCATGTGTCCTTTTGAGTAATTGACTTTGATCTTTTGATTGACTTGCTTTGGCTGCCAGTTGTCCTTTAGGCCAACTGCCATCATTGTATATTTTGTGTAGGATGTTGTACTCGTAGTGACGTAGTGGAGTAGGAGTAGGAGGTCTTAGCTTCAGACTTTTGCTAGCAACTCAGTGCGAAGTCACACGTGTCGGTGCGAGAAAGGAGTGGAAAAGAACAGCCGAGAGAGGGTCTGAGAGGGTTCACAATGTTTCACATTCTGAAGTTCTGGCATTGCACAAGCACATTTCAGAATTTCTGACCCAACCCTTCACCGATCTTGAGGTCAGCTTCCTAGGTGTTGGAGCCATGTCGCTTCTCGGCAGAATCATCAGTCAAAGCAATTGAGATCCGAAGGCCGAATCATGTGATGATAACGGACAGCAAAGCTAGTTTTCTGCTAGGCTTGCTAGGCATGCTTGTGATTGCTGGTCCCGGGCTGGGAAAGAATGGTAAAGCCATCGGTCAGAGTGAGTGAGACTCTTTGGTACATGATCTCAAAGCTTGGCATTCAATTGCATCAAGATTCATCAAGACTCAACTATTCAACATTTTCCAGACGCCATAAGGCTCCAAAAAAGCTTTTGGCTTCAGTTTATATATTCTTCCACAAATCCTTGTTGAGCAAGTGTGTAAGAGTTACAGCAGCAGATCGTAGACTTAAAGAGAATGATGATCACAACCAAACCAACGGTTTGACAAAGATGCTTTTACTTTAATTTCCGTTCAAGGTATTGTCCTAGTACGAACCCTTTGTAGGGGGTGGGATGACTTCAGGAATTTTCGAGAACACTTTTTGCAAAACATATAGTCATATAGTCGATATAATCAGTTGAAATGGATCTCTCCTGGCGCTGTGCTGATGGAACGCTTTTTGCACTTGCACATTTTCGACAAAGCTCCTCGCTGTCTTCCACCCTATGTAGAGCACTTTATGCAGAGCAGTTCCACAGAGGGTGCGAAACATTTGGACGACGTCACCTTGGTGCGTGCTTTGCGCCGCGCAGCTTTGCTTCCCTGGCGCGATGCGCGATTCTGGCGGCGAGCAGCAGATGTTGTGGCCAAGAAAGATACCATGGCAGGGCGCGACCTGGCCCAGGCAGCTCCGGTCTGATCACTTCTGATCCGGTCTTATATTATAGATTATTATACAGTAGACGTTATAGATCCGATTGAAACATCTTAACGTAATTCTTACTACGCTGGTCATTCCTACTTGTAGTCCACTTTGCGCATTCTTGCGCCATTTAGGCTGAGCAGGTCTTGGTTTGCGATCCTGTGTGTCAAGAACCCCTTGCTGCCCCCAGGCTTTAAGGTTAAATCACTGAATCTCAACATTTTGATGGAGTCAGAAGATGTAAAATGAGCAAATGTAGTGACATGTGCAGTAGTAACAGTGATATTTGACACTAGTCCAGCAGGGCGGTTGGTGTTAAGCTATGACCAAAGATTACAAGTGGTTCGGGATGGTTTGGGCATGGTTCGACAGGACCAACATTCAACTGCAGGTGTGCTTGGCCTTCAGACGAGTTGACTTTCCTAGCCGCATATTGTCGCAGCATTGCCTGAGCTATGTGACATCGGCATCACCCAGCTTCAACACCTTTGAGCTGCCAGGCTTAGACTTAGACAATCTTAGACATGTCCGCCCACGGTCAATCCGACATTTTCAAACGAAAGAAAAATACAGTAAGCGAATCTCTGTGCCCCTGCGAGTATCAATTTGGAATCTCTGGCGACAAGACTACTATTACCATGGACTACTGTCTTCGCCATATTATAGATTTTCCGAAGCTGTTTGACTTGACACGTCAGTTGAGTGAAGTATAGTGAAGTGTCGAACAATGAAGTGGAGGTCAACTTATATCTTGCTGGTCAATGTGATAGCTTACACATGCTTACACCCCTTTCTCACAGCCTAGACGCTCAGGCTTTCTGCAGTACTAGCATACTTCTCTTCAGCTGGTGCGGGATTGCCAGGCTGGTCTTCCCTTGAATCAAACTTGAAACAAACCTGAATCAACCAAGATAATATGACGACAAGGTACCGCAGGTCATTCAAGATCATCGAGAATTCTGCGTGCTTTTTGACGCTCGTTGAGCCAGTTATCTGTTTCAAGAGAATGTTTGTTTCTGAGGTGGGTAAGGGTGTTGTGCAAACACCATCAAACACCTGACAGAAGATGTTGCTTTGGAAGTTGTGTGAGTTGGGGTTGGTTGGGTTTTGAAGTAGAATCCCCAGGCGGAAGTTCTAACGATAAACGATATCCTTCAAGTATAATGCAGAGACCAAGTACAAGCTGGCAAAGGATAGCAAAGGATCTTTGGGGGCGCCTTGTTGAGCGATGGAAGGAACACATCAAACAAACAGCTAACAGCGAGTATCAGCGAGTAAAATACGCTCATGATTCATTCATGATGAATGTCATGGTTGGAAATGACGAATGTCGGATGATGTCGCATGGTTGGCAGGTGCTGAAGACTTTATTTGCAAGATTGCGGATGAAGCTGTTGCTCCCTGGAGACAGCGGGAAACTGTCCCCTGGTCAGCTTGGAAGACACTTAAATTGAAAACAGACAACACCAAATGAATACTCTGGAACGTTTGAGCTATGTTGAGCTGCATTTTCATGCCTCAAGAAATGATGGCGGCTGGGGTTGTGCATGTGTGATTCTTTCAGACTTTGGAGGTGTCCTCGAGTCATGGTAGACTCTTGGGTTTTGCGATGGCTTACTTTCTTGTGGTGTCCCGTTAAACCTCTCCTTCCTTTCTCTGCCTTTTCTATCCTTTTTGCCTAATACAGTTAATACAGTACCAATACGCAATAATACGCAAATGTTTCTGGCTTAGATACAGGTACAAACAAAAAAATGCTCATGTCATTGTTTTAATGTATCAATGATTGGTATTTGCTCTTGCGCCGCGTGCTTTTACTTGTGCTACTATCACGCATCACTGGAATTCGACAAAACATGCATGACAAAACATGCATGCACACCTTCGGGCAGGTGTTCACAGAATATGTGGACTCAAGAAAGCTCGGGAGAAACGACATTCAGGATGTGTACATCCGCGCATTCTTACCATAGTGCCATTTCATGGGATGTGTGCACCAAGCTCAACCATTTAGCTCACGACCCCTTTGAACTTTTGTCATTTGTCTCACTTGCGTTGGCGAGGTCCTTGAATCACACCAACTCGACAGCAACCCAATCATGTCAAATATGTGCACCAGCTCGAAGGTCCTGGCCGGCAAAAACACGAAATGCAAATGAACACAATGAATTAAAAACACAAATAGAATCAAATAGAATCAAATATAAAGAAGATCAAAGAAGCGTAGATGACAATTCGATACAATTTGTCCAATTTGGGCAAGGCATGGCAATGCATCAGGTCTTTACCCAGTCACAAACACTTTGAAATAGTTCCCTGGTGTTCCCTGACCTTCCAATTTCTCGTATCACTGGCACCTTTGTAGAGTGCTCATATGCTTTTTTTTGGCGAGCATCGTCATCAGCGATTGTTTTCACACTTCAATTCGAATCAAATTGTGTCAACCAAGAAAGCGAGAAACGTGCGTGAAAAACCGGTGGTTTTGGTGTGGAAGTGAGTGAAAAGCCGTGTTTCTAGTGTCAATTGGAAAGGTGAAAGTTGCAAGATTTCCCCATGCAACTCGCAGCCCATCCGCTCATAGCTGTCTAGTGCCACACCCATTTGCGGTACTAGTAATGGAAAATGTGGTTGAAAAGTCCCGAGTCCCTTTCGTAAAGCCCCTTGTTGGTAGGGTTCTGGATAACAATTGTTTATAGATATTTATAGAACTATGAAGTAATTTGGCTTAAATTCAAGATGATACTTTACAGCAACGCAGGCACTATGGAAGGTCAGCAGTTTTAGAGCCCGCAAAGCACGCGGATATGCTAGTGGCTAGCGCAAGTTGTGCTGGTTTGGGTAGCTTGATGTAGCTTGTAAATGCTTGTGACATGTTTAAACGGATCTGTTAATCTTGCACCTCCCTGGTACTCGAATTACCTCGAATGAGTCAAACTCCAAGGATGCTGGTTACTGCTTCTGCTGAAGCTGGTGTGGATCATCAACTCCTTTTCACGACAGCCGCGCCGCATTTGGCGCGCAACGTGAAATACATGAATGGACGCGATGCTGTTGACGTGTGGCGTGGCTGAACTGTTGCTTCATTGACCATCGGCCCTTAAACAACCTGCTTCACAGGTCTTCACACGTCTTCACAGTCTCAGATCCAAGGTTTGGGTCTTTGATGTAATTCAGCTTCCTACATGCCTACATGCTGCAGCAAAACAGTATTCTTCAGGTACCCTCTTGATCCCTCTTGCCTGTCCATGAATGCAACAAGTTGATCCTGAGGTGTGGCGCCTTCGCAGAGTTTCGATTCAAGCGACTGTGCTGTTAGCAACGGAACAGGGATGATGGCGGCGAGTTTTGGTTCATACTGTAAATTACAAATTGAAGCAGGCGTTTTCCCAATTGCCATTTCCCACAGTTTTCCATTTTCTATTCTATTGGCTTACGTACAATTTTCATGTTCAGGGATCGACATCACGGTGATGTTCCAAAACAAGTAGACACTTTTCTTGCGGTTGCAGAACAGATATGAACAGCAATGGAGGGGTTGTGATGAGTTGTGAACGAAGTGCATGCTAGCTCCAAAGAACACCGCAGCATTCAATTTAATTCACTATAAGTATATTATATATAATTATATATATATATAACTATATATATAATTATACATATATATAGATTATATACATGTATATTATGACTTATTACATAATTATTATGACTTAATGGAAGGTTGCACTTATGTAGTGTAACAATGTTGGTCCTTGAACTTCAAACAACTTCTAATTACTGGGATACTAAAACAATACTGTACAAGGTGATGCAGAAAAGGAAAAGCAAGCCTGCAGGCCGAACAGTCACACACACAACTTGATGTTAATCAAGAGAATCCGACATACAAGTAGAGCACTCCGGTATATTTTGCACGTATAATCAAGAAGTAAAGGTCAAAACGATGAGGGGTTGGAGACTTTGTGACCGATTTCGAAGTGTAGGAGAGCCAAAGGTGTGGAAAAAAAAAAGCAAACATCTATGAATCTATGACATGCAATGCATCATTTGCGAGCCCTAGGCACAATGCTTTGCTTGCAGAGCTGGCGCGTTTTCTTCCCGCCATGGGTCTCTCTGATGCAGAGGTCGCAGCAATGCAGGCCCTGTCAACAGCATTTTTCCAAGCATGTTTCCATTCATTCTCAAACATTTCCAAACCAACATTCAAGATTTTCAAGATGAACATGCCAGTAAAGGAGAGTGCTTCGCCAAGGTCTTGACAAAGCATTGACCAGGTAAGAATTTCGTTATATGATACAATAGTGGTTGGGGAAGAAATCTTTAGTGGCAGAAACATCCGAAACGCATGCGTTGGAAGATGCGGCTCTTCTTTCCTTTGGCGCAGGGCTCATTTCAGCGACTGGACTTCGAAGCGCCCATGTTGCGCCGTTTGCAGCAACTCAAGGGAACATAAGACACCGCAAAGCCACAAGCCGTCTCGCTATGTCTCGCTCGAAAATCCAAAGCTGCCGGAGCTGCCGTTTTCTTTCAAAGTTTCAGAGTAGCAGAAACAGATAGAACATGATAGAACTGAGATATAATGTGTATAATATATATCACTATATATCATTATATATCATTATATATCATTATATATCATTATATATCATTATATATCATTATATATCATTATATATCATTACATATCATTATATATCATTACATATCATTATATATCATTACATATCATTATATATCATTATATATCATTATATATCATTATATATCATTATATATCATTATTTATATCATTATATATCATTATTTATATCATTATATATATATATATTATTATTATTATATATATATATATATCATTATATATCATTATATATTATTATACATATATATATATGTCATTATATATATATATATATTATTGTTATTGAATGTATTTAGATAATATACATGTGTCCATTTTTAATATAGTTGAATTTTATGAATCTTATTTCATTTCTGCAGACCCAGTTTGCATTATTCCACAGTATTTGTTGCATTTGTTTTTTTGTGAACTGTCGGGACAATCCGCAGCAACTTGCTTGTTTCGGGACATCATCAATCACCCTGGTCATTATTCATAATATATGATATATGATGATATATGTATATATATATATATTATATGCAAGTGGGTCGCAGCCTAAGTCGCCCAAGGATTGGAAGGACACCTACAGCTAAAGGTCTTTGGATGAAGTGGCCGTTTCACAGCGACTTGATATGACCCAGTGCTCTCTTCTTTGAACCTTCGAGATCTGCGCGTCGGCCATCTGATGTGGCAGATTGAATTTGTGACAATAAATTGCATGCCACCTGTTGCTCAAAAATTGGGACTTGAAGTTCATCATCCATATTCCACAGAAAACAAAAACACCGGAAAACAACAGCAAACCAGCAAACACGGAAACATCAGGTATTTTGATTACTTTCTAAGTCCTCAGTGTTCACCCTGGTTCCATCTTCCAGTGGTGCCTTTCCCATCTCCTTGCGCCGCCTTGCCGAAGACATTGAAGCATCTTGCACGATGCGCCAGCGCTGTTGCATAGAAAACCAAAGCTGAAGCTGCCGCTGCTCATTCTTGGTCAAGGAGTTCGCCAGCTGGGCCTCAGAGTGCACCCAACGCACTACGATGCCATTGCGCAATTGGGCATGTTTTAATGCCATTAACTCCAAATCCACCCTACGTTCTGAGCCACGTGCGCAGACCACTTCCGAAGCAGTCTTGTCATAGACATTTCTTGAGTCAGTGATCACACAACCCGGAATAGTGTTAACCACCTGATTGACCTGCCTGATTTGAATTGGATATCCAAGCATTTCAGCAAACTGAAACCTGCAAAAGAACAAGGCATCTTCGGCATTGACTGATGCAACGGCTTCACTTGCACCCGGACTTCTGCAAACCCGCTGGATTTTAGAAGAATTCCAACACAAAGGAGAAACAGCTTCACATTGTCCTTTCAACAACCCCAAACCAGACAACCCAATTAAATAACCCTGGGTACTACTGCCATCAACTCTGTTTTGACCAGCGGCATCGCACCAAGCATACAAACCAAAACTGTCCAAGTCGATTTTGGGGACCAACAACCGATGATGTTTGGATTCTTTGACCTGGTGCATCAACTTGTTAGCCCTGAACAAGGTTTCAACCGTACTTTTACTAACTTCACTCAACAACAGTCCAACTTCGGCGGAAAACTGGGGTGCCACCTGTTGCGCAAACCAGCTAACCCCTCCCAACAAGGTTCTCAGCTGGCTCTTTTCCAGTTCATCCGTGTCACCATGTTTGTCTCTTTTCCGGTGAGCCCTGACATTGATGTATTTCAAATCTTCAACATACTGTTCTTGTGACAGAGCGTACGAACCATCTTGTTCTCTTTGGACCCGAACCCCACATTGTATGAAGTCATTGGTTTCCCAGTCGGACCATCGGTATTCCTTTTTAATAGCTTCCATGACTTGCATCCATTTAGGGTTATGTTCATCCCCAGAAAACAAGAAATCGTCAACATGGCCTGAGATGATTCCAAGAAGCTTGCCTTTTTCACAAAGCGTCCAGCAGCAAGGATCGGACCAACATCGCCTTAAGCCAAGTTGATCGAAATAGGAGCTGACTGACCTGTACCACTCCAAAGGTGCATCAACCAACCCATAACAGGCTCTTCGAACCAGGGTCATGGATTCTGGTGGAAGTCCCATCGCCTCCAAGATTTCAGGGCATGGTATGCACAACAGAGTGTTTGGGTAGTCTCTTGATTGCAAGAAGGCTCCTGTGACGTCTCCCTTCCAAGTCTGAAAGTTCTTTGCTGCAGCTATCGACAGTTGTATTTGTCTGGTCTGTCGAGTGGTGGTTGGTGATGTTGTGGCACGTTCAGAGTAGCTAGGATCCATGTATCCAAGGAGCACTGCTCTAGCTTTTGCCTTTCGACCACCACATGGCAATGTCTTCCACGTAAGGATCCATCTCATTTTCACAGCATCAGATCGGCTTGCTTTGTACCCTGATGGAAGTGCTTCAAAGGCTTTCGCAGCAATGAAGTTTGTGACCTCCACCTGTTTTGCTCCTTGAAAAGCCAATCTTTCCTCTGATGTCAGGCGTTTCTCAGAAACCTCAATTGCCTTTCTTTTCAGCGAGGCTGCAAAGTATGACTGTAGTGATTTCAAGGCCTTTTCAGAGGCATTCCGGTTCTCGGGCATGTCTATTTCCACTTGTACTGCTGTATCTTGCTTCCAGATGCTGGGCTCTTCCTGAGACAGAAATGCATGATCTGGTAGCTGAGCTTCCCAGTGGGGTGCTGCTTGAAATCCTTCAGGCATTTTGTAAGACACATCTCCTCGAACTGGACTTCTTGACCTCTGACGTGCCCTTGGGCCTGAAATCCTTGAGGATTCGGCACCTCCGGTGTCGGGCTGTCCATGTCCTCGATCCAAATCTTCGGCATCTCCGTGCTGAAGTGGTTTCATTCTCTTCCCTCTTTGTCGTAAAGTAGGCTGCCATTCCTGTTCAGGATCAGCTGCCCGTTTCCATTCTAGTTCCATGGGTTGTTCACTCCAGTCTTCATATTCATTGCCTCCCAACTCATCGGCAATGCGGGGAAATGACCATGGTTGTGGATCAGGTGCATGTAGTTCTTCCAAGATCCTTTCACGATCAGAAGCATGTCTAAGTTGCTCGGGGCAGCATTTCAGTAACCGCCGGCCACGTACCAACCAGACAGAAGAACCTGCTGTCAAGTGACCTTGTTCATCACGTTTTTTCTCTGTTGCTAAAATCCGTGCTGGGCCCACAAAACGACCTCGTGTATTGTTTCCAGGTTTGGTATCTTCTCCAGTGACTTGCTTCCTCCATATGTACACCAAGTCACCTGCAGAAAAATTCAACACTCTCCTGTGTCGAGAATGTGTCGCTCGCATGAGCCGGTCTTTTGCATTCCATTCCAAAAACCCTTTTTCTGCACTGAGTCGGAGCGCCTCCGTTTTGTGGTGCACCACTGTCGGATTATCATATGTCAGTTCTGGAGACTGTACCATCTGTGGATTGAAAATCCTGTCTGTTTCATCAGGTGACTTCCCCAAAACATGTTGCATGGGTGAGTATCCTCTGATGATTTCACGGCAGTTGAGGGCTCGGACACACTCTGAGAGAGCTTCTTCCGGAGTGGTTTCAGGGTGTTCATGAAATACCTTTTCAAGCATGCTTTTCGTCGACTGAACTGCCCGCTCACACACTCCCAGTTTCCAATGCCCCTCACTGGGTACTAGGTCCAGGTAAATGTGGTGTTGATCGCAGAATTCACTCAGTTCATAGCTACGGAATGCTCCATCAGGATAGGTTTTGATGAAAATGGCTGCGGATATGTGTTTCTTTTTTCCTGTCAACACAACCCTTCCTACCTTGAACCGTGAACCCTCATCCACCATCAACAAGAACTGGAAATGTTCCCCTGTATGAGGTTGTATGAAATGCCCCATGTCCGCCGTGACAACATCAAACCGTTGAGGTTGTGGTTCCAAAGCAGCAACATTTCTTGGCTGGGGCCTACATTTTTACGCACAAACCGTACACGTGAACCGCTCAGCCTCTTTGATGATATCCGGATGAACACCCCTCTTTTTCAAGGATTGAACCAGATACCGAACAGGGCTGTGACCAGTGGCAGCATGCAACAAGTACAAACGACGTTGAATTTCCTCTTTACTCATGTTACATGACCCATGATCCTCTGCCGCAAGACCCAGCCCGGTGAGTTGTTCCACTGGCAACCTACAGGAACCACATTGGAGACTCATGCCATGGTGTTTGTGTTCTTCACAAATACAAAAAGTCCCCTTCCCAAAAAGATCCCCTTCGTGGTGGTTTCCCTGGAACTCATCCCTGATTTGTTTGGGGGTATGTCCCTGAAGAATCACCTCACAAACTCTCTTTGCAAACTCTTTGGTGTAGAACGCCGACTTTCGGGTCAAACTACCCTCACATGCGACATGTTCAACCCTGGAGTCACAAGTACATGGAAGGGACATCCTCATGGCCATGAGTTTGTTGGTGGTCATGATTTTCCATCCCTTAGATATGTACCTACCTTTGGGGTCTCTCAGATTCACTCGGCACCCTCGGATGATGGCAAACAAAACTTGGTATTTCTTGGCTATGTTCTGAACCAGTGGCAACCTCCAAGCTTGACATGATTGCGACCATTCCCACGTGGCGTGAATTCCCTTTTGGATACAATAACAATAAACAATAGCTCCCCCAACATATTGCTTCAGCACTTCTCTTCGTTTTTGTTCAAGCTGTTCCTTTTGTTCAGGGGTTCTTTGATTTATGTTTTGCATCACTGAGTATGGGCCACATTCCATTGACAACCAAACATGAGCCGGTTTCAGAGTATCGATTTGGTCCAAAACCCTTCGAACTCCGTCATTGGTGCTCAAATCATGATTGTTCCACAAGGAAAGGCGGACAGCACTTTTCTCAGAGCCAGTCATGTCGTGCATTGTCTTTGATATGATACTGTCCTGGCTACACGCAATCTCAAGCAAAGAGACACGGTCTTGAAGGGCTAGTCCCTGGAGGGTATCCGTCAACATGCCCTCACTAGCAGAACCCAAATACCTACCCAAACCCTTAGGTAACTTCTTCGTGCAACAACCCGCATGGCTTTCGGGGGTATTTGGTACCACTTCCGTGTCAGGAGGCCTAAAGGCACTTGAAGCTAAGCCACTCACTGATGCATCACCTCGAAGCTGCCCGAAGTAGCCTCGCTCACCGCCTTGCCCTCCTTCTTGTGGGGTCTCTCCTCCTTGAGGTTCTGGACCTCCTCGTTCAGGGAGGCAACTGTGTGCATCAGCTGCTGCATCATCTGGATCATGGGGCCATTGGAGTCGGACTGATTCGGCATGGAGCCGGCTGATGTCTGCCCAACTTCGGTCTTCAGGAAGGTCGGGGCCACTGGCAACGTGTTGGGGGAGTAAGCTCCCGGCACCACCGTGTTCTGATTGTTCTGGTTCCGTTGGTACAGCCAATTGGCCAGGCGCAACAGCCTGGGGCTGCAATTCTTGGGATCCTCCTTGGCTGTGGTCAGGACCCAGGTCATGTACCCCTTCTCCTCCGGTAGAGGTCCTCGTAGGACTTTGCCGCATGAACCCCAAAGCCCACAGGATCTGTTCCTGTTGCTGGAGCCAGATCGTAAATGGCCTGCAGGCCCTTGGTCATCAGCTGGTCCATGGTTTCGTTGCCCGACAGGGGCACTCGCAAGACCTGCGAGACATGCTGCCGCAGGGTCTCTTTCTTCTCCTTCTTGGCCTTGTTCAGATCGATGATCATCGTGCGCAAAGGAGAGTGGTTCTTCTTGTTTTTTTCGAACAGCCCATGCTCCTGACGAAGCTCCTCCGCACGCATCTTGAGTTCTTGAAGAGTCCAACTTGAGGGTGGTACTTCTCCCATGCTGGTCAGCTCTGCAATCAACTGCGCCTTGGTAGGTGCTGGCATGGCTGTCAACGTCGATGAGCGAAGTCGGGGGATCACCAAGAGCGAGTTGATCTCGATACACAGTGGCTGCCGCGACTGCTGGTGAGACGCTCGCTGAGTGATCATCAGAGGAACTACCACTGGTGTTTTGCAAATTACCGGATGTTTCACAAACAACAGCACTAACAACATCAACAGATTCATCACAACCTTTCACAACTTCTTCAAGTCCATCCACTTGCGACTGATTGTCTGCAAATACATTGGTGACCTCCCTTTTCCCAGCAGACGTGGAATACGGGAGGAGATGTCCCTAAAGGAAATCTTTCAGGCTCGGAACCGGGGCATTGGTCTTTTGAGACCCCTGATGCCAATCCTGCGCAAGTGGAAGCAACTGGTGACCTGAGCTTGAGCGCTCCAATTGTATGATGCGCTCATTCGACAAATGTCGAAAAACAATCAAATCATGTTCAAAGTCTATGAGAGCTCCCAGTGACCTCAAAGTTTCTACGGAAAACAAAATGGGACCTTCACCTTTGTCCAGCGTGTGTACCTTCAAGTGACCCTCCCGGCCTTCGGCCAGGATCTTCATCCAAACTGTTGACAAGCATCGGTCACTTGATGAATTACCAAAACCAAAAACTGGTCTTTGATTCACATCTAACTTTGCTACCCCCGCATCACCATTGTTCTCCGCATTGATGGCCATGAGACGCTCAACCGCTGCCACGGATCCCAGGGTGCGTGTGGCACCACCATCGATGACAGCTCGGCCATTCTCCATTGCCTGGTGCGTGGTGGACATGTTCGCATTGGTGCTGTCGGTGTTCATCACCTGGTCAGTCATGCAGATGAAGGGAGCATGTTCTTGAACTTCCGCAGTGTGTGCCTGCGTCTTGTTGGGGCACTCAGAGGTTTTGTGGGCACCTCCACAGCTAAGGCATTGACCCCCAGGAGGTCCGGCATTGTTGAAGTTCACATTTTTCACATGCTGTTTACCTTTGCCCTCACCTTTGAAAGACCGTTGGCCGTAGTATTGACGGCTCAACTTCACGAACTTCTGTTTGGACCTGGCTTCTTTGAGTGTGCGCCTCCCTTGGTCAATCATGGCTAAGGCCGTATGAGCTTCTGACTCGGCATCGGACAGCAATGCCATACCCTCGGCATTCAGCCCAGCATAAGCCAGATTCGCCCAGTCTGGGCCATCCATTTCTTCACCTTGGGATTCTTCATCATTTGCCATCCAAGCCGTTCCACGTCCAGACTGGTCTCGGCGTCGTAGATCATCATCATTCCATTGGTTTCTCAATTCCTGAGCAACGCGATCCAGGCGAAAATCGCCTTTGATGGCTGCAAGGATCATATTCTTCTCACTCACTTCAAGTCCAGCGTCTTGCAGGAGAAGCCACCCTTGGACAAATTCTGGCAGTAGTTGAACTTCTTGAGCAGTCCATGTACTTGAGGCTGGAGCTTCACAGCTATAGCCACTAGACCAGTGCCCTGACGAGTGCCACCAGTCATCATACCACCATCGATCACTCCAAGAGGCCTGACTCTGTCGGCTCTGATGACTTCTGGTTTCTTCTTCCTCCCCTGGATCTTCGGCTCGGTCTTCTTGTATTGTCTCGTTTCTGGACTCATGTTCTTCGGAAGCTTCACCTTCAGTCACCTGTTCAAGCCGTGGTCGATCACCTGTAGTTGAGGAACTCCTGGATGCCATAGAGCTCTTGACTGGTTGGTAATGGCTTTGGGCCCTCCCCAGTGTAGTCTCAGCTCGAGCATAGAGTTCAGCTTTTCGGGTGATGTACTCGTTCATGGACTCATTCTTCTTCCTGCGACTCAACTTGAAGTACCTGGCTAAGAAGTCTGACATCTCAGCCAACTGCGGCAAACCCAAGTGCTGCCGCAAGTGGTTCAAAAGGGTCTGGACCCCTCCGGCATGCGAAACCCATCCAGGCTTCTTCGACAGGACAAACCTCCTTGCCGTACCCGTGAGCTCTTTCAGCAACTTGGGTCCACAGAGGTACCTCTTGTGGTAGGGAACTGTCTGTTCCCAGTGTTCAGCCAGTTCGGAGTATTCCTGGAACGTAGCTGACGCGCCATCCCAAATCGGCACCCCTTCCTTGTTTCTCTCGATCCTCTCCACCATGGCTCCTAGGGGCTATGCGCCAGGGAGCTATGCTATTCAAAAAGAGCCTTTGGTAGGCTCCGCTACCATGCAAGTGGGTAGCAGCCTAAGTCGCCCAAGGATTGGAAGGACACCTACAGCTAAAGGTCTTTGGATGAAGTGGCCGTTTCACAGCGACTTGATATGACCCAGTGCTCTCTTCTTTGAACCTTCGAGATCTGCGCGTCGGCCATCTGATGTGGCAGATTGAATTTGTGACAATAAATTGCATTATATACATATTCATATACTTGTGCATATTCATTGATCTATTCGTATCTATTCACCTATTTATATTTATGTATTTTTAAACATATATATATATATACATCTATTTATGTAATTCTACTTGTCTGATTATGGATCTACTTACCTATATGCTTATCTATCTTGGCTGATCTTTTCTGATTTGAACACGAATGCACAACTCAAATGGTCTGCAAAGGAATGCAAGCGTTGATTTTTTTGTGTGTCCCATACACCATACACGAAGCTTTGTGAAAACATGTGAGCCCACGGCACAACCTCTCCAGATATTAAACAGCTAAACGATGTGATCTTGAGAGCAGTTCAATTCAAGATAGTTCAAGATTGTTCATATGCATTTCAGCTCAAACGGGTTCTGTGTGGATGCCATCTACTGCTGCCTCGAAATTGTGATCACGCCTACCATGCAGCCATGGGTCGTTGCCATGGCTTTGGCGACCCTGATGTGCTTTACCTCAACCTGCTACTTTTTTCAGACGCTCAGTCGCATGTGGAATATCCACATTCGGGATTCGTTGCTCATAAGTTTGCAAATTACATTGCATGCCGGAGTACTAAGTACCAGATGTCCTACGTACAATTCATGTTCGTTATTCTGACGTGATTTTTGAGTCTTGAGTATTCCTGCGACCGGATCCAATAGATTGAGTGGCATGCCATGCTAAGCTGGCCTGCCACGTGGCTTTGAGGATCCCCGAGGAGATTCGCAAGAAAGAAAGTTCCCAGGCAGCTGCGCTGGGCATTTGGGGCCCTCCCGATGCAGAGTTCAATTGGTGCGAAGAGGCGCCTTTTGCTGAGGGTCAATGGCAATGCTTGCAAGCAGTAAGATGTGCTGGTTGGACAGAAGCGAAGCTTTCTGGACCGATAGAACCACATAGAACCACAATACCATCATAGATATCCGGTAAAGGCATGTAACTATATATAATTAAATAATATATATATATATGCACATACATATATATATATAGATATACATACGTGTATCTCAATGTCTCTACTCAATATAATGGTGTATATATATATATACATGTGTTTCCATACACGTGTATTTTCAATATACTGTACGTATATATTATATGTGTAGTATCTAGCCACTTTGTCTGTTCTGGTTTTTAAACATAGACACCCAGGTAGCCACAAGACCAGGTGAAGGCAGTACAGAGCGCCTGTTTACATCTGTGTTTTTATGTTTTTTCCATTTTGTTCCTTCTTAATCCTTCTTCAACTAGATTCGCGCATTTCGCAGGACTATCAGCTGTCTGAGTGGATTGCAGAGCCCGTGAACACAGCCTCCTGCGTCGCCATGATTTTGCTGCCGCTCCTGTTTTTGGCCACGCATGAGGCCAGCAATATATAGCAATATTATCAATTTCTGTCAGAAGCGGATCCCAAGCCCAGAGCAGAGGATCGCATGGATTTATATTTTCATGTATATATATAATTATATATATATGTGTGCGAATGTGTTCTATAGTATTTCAACATGTTCTATACGAAGATGAACAATGCATTGAATCATGCTGAAAGTCGAGGGAAAGAGCCAGGGTATGTTGAAGTAATCACCATCGCTTGTGCCTTTGTTGGGTTTGGATTGGTTGTACGTGTAACGCTCCAGGCAACTGGGGATGTGGTCACCATTGCCTGCATGGAAGTTGTGATTGCAATTGGCAGCATGCTATTCCATGCAACTCTGCGGTATTCGATGCAGTTGGCAGATGAAATTCCAATGATTTGGCGTCTTGGCTGCTGACTCTGCTATCAACGTTTGTACCTATCCATCTGACAATTTGCGCCTCTACCTATTGACCAGTTTGTCTATCTATCTACCTATCTACCTATCTAGATATCTACATATATCTACCTATGTACCAATCTCATCTCATCACATCCTAGTCTTGTATGTGGGTGCGAGATGGTGCGAGTCAAAATGTAAGGTATGGATCAGACCAGTGCTCACATCCGTTCCACACCCCCAATCCATGCCAAAATGATCCAAAATGCAGGTCCACACCGTTCCATACGTATGGACCACCGCGGAACGATCCATACCTAATCCTTGACCCACACCTATATCTTCTCCATATCTTCTCCGCTCGAATTTATCTACTCTTGTAATTATCTCATACCATCCTATCTAATCCCATCACAACCTTTCTCATCCTAGCTTGATGATTAAATCCAAATCGAATCTTATTGAATCTGATTCAAACCTAGGGGTATGGTAAACTCCAAACAGTGCCATGGAGTTTTCGGATAAGCTATCGGGTATGACGCACCATCCTCATTGAAACCAATTTCGTACGCTCTTCTTTGATGAGGATAGGGCCGCCATTCAAGAGGGGTACTATCTACAGTAGTCTATTTCTGATGTCAGACTATCATTCGACAGCATTCAAGCATTGCATAATTCACAGGAAGGATGTTTCTTAATCGAGCGCTGTGGTGGTTTTGAAAAGGGTCTCTGCGTAGGGCTTTGCAAACTCCACAGAGAATATAGGAGATTTGTCAGTTTTGGCCTGACTCCCTCTCTCTCTCTATATGTATGTAATACTGGTATGAGTTCCTCTAGGAAATTAGGGGGGTTAACACCCCCGTAGAGAATGGATTTTTTACACTTCTGAAAACCTGAATGTGCTTGAATGATGCTTTCCAAGTCTCCTCCATTTTCTAGAGAACAGCTTTTGGAGACCTCTAAGTCTCGTAAGATGCTGATTTTCTGGATGGTTTAGGTGCCCAAAATCCAGAAGCATCATTTTAGCATCTCTGGGAGTACGTTCTTGATTCTCTAGTGATCCCTGAGTTTCTAGAGAGGCACTGGTAGGTCATTTTGTTTTGTTCGCAATCTTTCACAATCCCCTTTCGAGCATTTGAATGGGCTGAAGCCCCAGAGCTGGAGTGCACGATTTTGGCATGTCTTCTATTAAATCAGTGGGCGGGGGAGGTCACGAAACAGGTATTAGTTTCCAGATCTACTAGGTGTTTTTTTATACGCATGTTAGCCGCTCTCCACCCAGAGGACCTCTAGAAAATGGAACCCCTGGGGGGAGCCCTTAGAAAATCAAATCCTTGGTATGTTTATTCTCATTGTTCTTAGTATTTTTTTTAAAGTGCGGCTGAAATTAGAAAGAGTAACCCTTTTACAAGGCGCCCTTTTTTCTTTTATTTGACGTATAAGGATGTATCAACTTTTTTTCAAAATTGATTGCTCGGATCTCTAGAGAATCAAAGTGATTGGTGTGAGATATAAACCTAGGGGATGCTTAGAATATTGAAGCACCTGGGGTTGGCAAATATATGTGGTTTTAGGGTTGTATTGAGGTACAATAAAAATCTAAAAATCCATAAAAGTGGAACCTGCGTGGTTTGTTTTTCTCGAGGGAAGAGGTGTATATTTAATTCAAAGAAGCATATGCACCTATCCCGCAGCACATTGGGTTTTCTCGAGAAATGACCTTTCTTGAAGAGTCCGTAAAACAATTTTCCAAGTTGATTTTCTAGATGTCATTTGGATTTTGGCTCAATCACTTCAATAAACTTCAATACTCTAGAGGTGTCTTGGGGTGGAGGGTTGCGATCCCCCGCTTTGTATATGTATATATATATATCTCTCTCTCTCTATCTATCTATCTGTCTATCTATCTATCTATCCATCCATCTATCTATCTGTCTGTCTATCTATCTATCTATCTATCTGTCTGTCTATCTATCTATCTATCTATCTACCTAATCTACCTAATCTATCTACTCTATCTACCCTATCTATTCTATCAAACCTATCTAATCTATCTAGTCAATTTTATCTAATCTATCTATCTATCTATCTATCTATATCTATCTATCTATCTATCTATCTATCTATCTATCTATCTATCTATCTATCTATCTATCTATCTATCTATCTATCTATCTATCTATCTATCTATCTATCTATATCTTTCTATCTATCTATATCTATCTATCTATACATCTATCTATCTATCTATCTATATCTATATCTATATCTATCTATCTATCTGTCTGTCTGTCTATCTATCTATCTATCTTTATCTATCTATCTATCTATTTATCTATCTATCTATCTATCTATCTATCTCTCTCTATCTATCTATCTATCTATCTATCTATCTATATCTTTCTATCTATCTATATCTTTCTATCTATCTATATCTATCTATCTATACATCTATCTATCTATCTATCTATATCTATCTATCTATCTGTCTGTCTGTCTGTCTATCTATCTATCTTTATCTATCTATCTATCTATTTATCTATCTATCTTTCTATCTACCTATCTATCTATCTATCTATCTATCTAGAAAATCGATGTCGGAGAGGATCAGCTGAATTTATATAAAGGCGGATATCTAACCATGCTAAGTTTTTTGTGCAACGACTATCTTGACAAGAATTACATGTTCCCGTGGTTTGAGCCTGTTTGCAGCCATTTTACAATTTTTGGCTTGCCATGCTGGTACAGCAAGATATCAGCTTTCAAGTCGAACCATTCAACAAGTATTTGGCAGGTAAGGATGTATGATGCAAAACAAGATTTGCTGTGCAGAGCACCAAGGAGCTTTGTGGGTCGTCTTCATTCTACATGGAGTATGAAAGCGCAATGATGCGCAGTGATGCGCAAATACAACAAACATCACTATAACGTTGTTGTTGCGACATGAACGCCCCGCAAAAACGCCCGCAAATACCCGCAAACGCCCGCAAGGTCAGAAAAATTGAAATTCTTACGAAGTCTTGTTGTTTTCCAATCAGGGGAGCTGTTTCTTTTTTAATTTTTCTGCCGTATAAAAGATGGGCTTACAAGAAATTTGAAAATTCATACACAAGCCATGCGGCTCTGCCATCAATATGCGTGGGTGAAAGTGAGAATATTGGGTTGGTGAGATGCACTGGGGGCACCCAAAGAGCTAGAAGAACCCCAACCACTCGACATGATTTTTGTTAAGTAGCCATGGTTTCCAGCAACACGTCATGAACAACATGTCTCGTTTTCAAAGGATATGGAATTATTGTCAGGGGAGGGTCGAGGTTTTTTTTGGCACCTTAAGCGCCAGTGTTTAGCCTATAAGAAGATGTTTGGTTTTCTTTCTGTTTTTGGCGATCCTGGGCCACTATTGAATGGGGACGGCTGCATTAAATATCCAGATATGCCCAGTGAACTGGGCATTCGAAAAGCTCGATCGAAAAATTCGAAACCGCGCACTGGGCTGGGTGTCGGGCACTAGAAAATGGTTGCCAGTAGCTGTCCAGCTCAGCTCAGGGTTGGAGGCCCAGGGGCACGCTGTCTGGTCTGTCCGAGGTGTGCCATCCAACTCGCTCCTTCGTTTGGTGGGCTTCCTGGATTCGTGCCAGTGGACTTCGCTTCATTGTGGTACTTGTTTTCTTGCTGCTGATTTGTCTTTCTGGTGTCGTTGTCATGTTTGATTCCCAAGATGAAACTTCCATGTCTGCTTTGCTTTCCTGCAGTTGCCTTAAGACTGAGAATAACAGCTGGCAAGGTGAAGTGTTCATGCATGCCAAACTTAGTCCTTTGTCCTGTTGGGCTCGCGAAATGCATTGTTTCCTTTTGGATTTGGGACCCCCTAGTGACTTGCATTCGACCCCAAGAGAGATTTCCACCAAAGAGTCCTCTTGGATGATTTTGCCTGACATTCCGTGGTGGGCCAATGCAAATGTCCATGTGTTGGAATGCGTGCCGAGCTCTCTTTTCATGACCCAGCACGATGTGCCAGAGTTGTCTCCATGCTTGATATTTGGCCTGTTGGATATGTCACAAAGCATGCCACAATGTCCTTCACCGAAGTGTTTTGCGGAGCATTTGCTGGGTGGAATCAAAGACTCCGGTGGTTAGCCGACCGTGGCATGCTCGAGTCATTGTCAACCCATTGCATGTAGACTGTGACCCTACCGTCATGCAATACTTTTCCAAAACATGGAAATGTGAGAAGGTTGGAACCGCACCGTCACCAATGACGAATGCGTGCATCATGTGTCCGGTTGCATGCTTGCTGTGGTTGGCCTTTTCCCCGAGAGCGCCTGCGAAGGGTTCTTCGTAAAAAAGCAGCCGTTATACTACATCTTCACACCTTCACATCTGCTGATCTAGATCTTCACACCTTCACACCTGCAGATCTAGATCTTCACACCTTCACACCTGCAGATCTAGATCTTCACACCTTCACACCTGCATATCTAGATCTTCACACCTTCACACCTGCAGATCTACATCTTCACACCTTCACATCTGCTGATCTACATCTTCACACCCTCACACCTGCAGATCTAGATCTTCAGACCTTCACACCTGCAGATCTAGATCTTCACACCTTCACACCTGCAGATCTAGATCTTCACACCCTCACATCTGCAGATCTAGATCTTCACACCCTCACATCTGCAGATCTAGATCTTCACACCCTCCCACCTGCAGATCTAGATCTTCACATCCTCACACCTGCAGATGTAGATCTTCACACCCTCACATCTGCAGATCTACATCTTCACACCTTCACACCTGCAGATCTAGATCTTCACACCCTCACACCTGCAGATCTAGATCTTCACACCCTCACATCTGCAGATCTAGATCTTCACATCCTCACACCTGCAGATCTAGATCTTCACACACTCACATCTGCAGATCTACATCTTCACACCTTCACACCTGCAGATCTAGATCTTCACACCCTCACACCTGCAGATCTAGATCTTCACAC